TCGATACCATTGCCTCCGCAGATCTCATTGACGTTACCGGTGCAGGCAAAGTTGCAATTGGCATCAGCTACAACTGTCTTGGGTCGGTTGTAGCCACACCAGCACTCTTGTTCGTATTGAGTACCAGCAAAGATGTACCCAGCTGCCGAGCACAAAGATATGCACTGTTCATTAGTGTTGTTAGGCCCGCTGTACTTGGCGGTCTGAAGTTGTCGGCCTGGATTGTTCTCCTTGAAGCAGCCCCCGTATCTGTAGATGCCTTGCTGGGTGACCGGATTCAATGGAGGTGCTTGTTCCGCGACAGCATTGCAGAAGAATTGGATGTGTTGCTTTCCAAAGCTCGGATCGTTGAGGTTCATGGTCCACTGAACAGTGCCATTGTAGGGGCCGACATTGATTTGACTCTTTGGCACGGAGCAAAAGAGTGTGGCGGTGAGGTTTTGGCCCGCGTAAACCAGTGTGCCCTCTGCGAGGTCGACTTGGTTGCTGGCGCCAATGATGCTTCCGGCAATGCCGAAAGGAGGCTTGCTGACCGTCACTGACAATGCCGCCGCGTTGGCGGAGCCATTGTTGGTCAGGCGCATCTTCAGATACCGGCTGGTGTTCTCTGTGACGTTACCAAAGCTGAAGGCCGTGGCATTGTCGTATGAGACCCACCCTCCATCAAGGCTCTGGAACTCGACCACAGCCTTCGGTTGATCTGATCCGGCCGCAAGGACATCAATCACTTTGGTTCCACCGTTGGAGACAAACTGAACGAACGCGACGTAATTGCCGGAATTCGGAGGGTTGAAGTTGATTGGAACAATGACAGCGCTATTGGGAGGAACAGACGACGGCATGTTGTAGAATGTGAAAGCGGAGATTACAGTTGCTGCTTTGGTGCCATTGGGCGAGATCCAGGGTCCAGTCTCGGCCACAATGGAATACCTAATGCTGCTGATTGACAGAGGACTGTTTCCAAGATTGTTAATGACCACAGATTGGTTGACTCCGCCGGCTTGCAGTCCAGTGATCACACCATTCCAGCTGACAGTATTTGGAGTGACCATCATCAGAGCAGCTTGGCTCTGACCAGTCCCCTTCAGCTGGACGGGAGTGTTGATGCTGAAGCCGGCGGCCTGCTGAGTTGTGTTCAAGATCACGGACGAAGATAGCGGGCCAACGGTTTGAGGAGTGAAGGTTGCCTGAAATGAAAACTGTTGTCCGTTGGCGACTGCCAGAGGGAAATTGGGCAATCCACCGATAGCGAAATTTGGATTTCCTGAAAGGCTTGCGGCGGTGACAGTAACCGCAGTATTGGCTGTACATCGCACGGTCATCGACGTAGTGGTTGTGTTGAGATTGGCTGTGCCAAACTGGAGAGTTGTACAGTTCAGAGGCAAATTGACCGGTGCTCCGTAGGCGTAAAGGTAGCCGACTGTAGTGCCTTGATAGACAATCCCATTTCCAAAGACAGGTCTGGTAAACTTGGTGGTTCCTGGTGTGACGAATGAATTGATTTCCGTCATGAGTCCATTCTCATCGGGGATGGCATTGTAGATTCGAAGGTTAGACCCTTCGACATCCGACGTCCACACCAAGCCTGTTCCGGGCTGATCGTTGAGCGAAGTGACGGTGCCGTGACCTACGCCGAGAATGTAGGCATTCTTCTCAGGAGAGTCGGCCACCTTGTTGAAATATGGTACCCCATGATTGCAGGAGAATTTGAACACATGGGTCTGATATTGGATGACGTTGATGTAGATGTAGCCACCTTCAAGCGGGTAAACACCAGCTCCAGCATAGACTGAGTTTTCGTTCTGAAAAACTTGGATCACATTGTCCAGCTTGTTTGGGCCGTTTTGATAGCCTCCGAGGTTGTCAAGATTGAGCCAGTAAGTCTTTCCACTCTTACCGGTGACGACGCCGATTCGTGTGATGTCGCCACAGGAGAACTGACTTGGAAGGAGTTCTAGCGGCGATGTACCGAGATCTGCGCCTAGTCAGTTTTGAATATAAAGTTAAGGAGAGGAGCATTACCTTTGTCAGCACCATCAAGTTGCGTTTTTTCCCAGGGCATGAAAAAGTCGACTACAGATAGAGAGCCATCATCGTTGATTGCCATGTGCACAGCAGCCTCTTCCAGCGCCGTTGGTGGATTCCTGCCATTTACAGGTACTCCGTTGAGTTGAGAGGCATAGCCATTGCCGGAAGCGAAAAACATAGAACCTTTGTCGTCGCTTGCAAGACCACCACCGGACATCCAAACACCCGCTCCGGGAACGTCAGGGCCAACGCCAGCTGCAAAGTGTTAGACAATGTTGCCTAATAGTAACTGTGCAAGAAACAACAACGACCTACCGCCTTCGGTTGCGAATCTTTCCACGAGCTGTCCGGTACTCTTATTCCAGCCTACAATCCAGCCGGTGAAGTTGTACTGGACACTGTAACGGGATGAATTGATCAGCCGCAGAAATGAAAAGCGCAGAGAGAGAATGGACTCTCTCCGATCGTTCTGCTAGGCAGCACGAGTCAAACATACCAATGGCTGGCGAAACCAGCGTACACATAGTCACCAGTATGAAGCAAACCAGGACGTTGATGATGGATCCCGCCGTTGAATGACCGCACGGGATTATTTCGAGCTACCATCCCCTCGAGGCTGACTGGAAAATTGGGCCTCTCGGAAAGGTCAACAGTGCTGATGGCATGAACGTAGTAGCGACCATTTGGACGCCCGGTCGCTCCCGTAAGACTTTGATCAACGTAAGTCTTGGACGTCATGTACCATGTGTCCTGGTTTGAAGTTAGAACTCGAAATCGGGAAAGGAAGGATGAACGCACCGTATCGGGATCAATGACACCTGTTGCCGTCACACCAACAGTTGGGTTGATGTCAACACATCCATCCAGATCGCTGACCAAGAATGGGCGATGAAGGTTCCGAGATGCAACGATGACGCCGGTATTTGCGACTATTTTGTACACATTATTCTGAGTTGTTGCGACATAGACATATTGAACACCATCCGAACCAGTATAGACCAGTGGCTGGGAGAATATCTGCTCTGGCACGTTCTGCCCGTTGATGAGATATGCTCCGGGAAGCTTGGTCTTGAAAAGGAGGCCGAACTGGGAACTTCCCACCACAGCGGGATCCATGTTGTGGTTGTTCTGGTAGCCGGTTCTGTCATTTGACCCACCCCATGTAATGGTGTCAGTACTAGCAAGAGAGTCGACATGTTGGACGAAGAACACATTCAACGAGAGGAAAATCGTAACGAGTGACTGTAGGGAAAGGAAATTTAAAGAGCGCATTGCGAAAAAGGAGTAAGAAGCGCAAACGAGTGACCAAAGAGGGATTGTCGAAAAAACGAGTGTTTGAAGAGCTTGTGCAAAGTCCCAAAGAGAAGACGGGCAGAGTCTGTGTAATATCATAGCTCCAAAGGCTCTACTTTTGGGGAGGCCATGGGCCCGACTTCGACCACGCCTCGTCATCTGAATCGCGGTCTCGGCCGTGAGGCCATGTTCAGAGATGTGAAGACATTGAAAATTGGCCCGCAAATCTCGATCAGGCAAGCATCGAAACAAAATTGAGTCAGGGGTAGAGTTCTGGGCTCTTTGGCAGAGATGTGTAAGCAACGGGCCTGTACGTTCCATTTCAGATGCAATCCAGAACGCCCCAAAGGTTCAGGCGGAGCTATGCTGAGAGATAATTGCCAGACAGTGAGCAAGCAAGGAAGTGCTCGTCCCTGGCAGACTATGTCCCGGGTTCTGTAGGCCGGAGCAGGCCAATGCCAGCTATCGCTGTAACAGCCACTCTGAAGTAAATTACCATGAAAGCTTGGGATGGAAAAGGGCCTGTCAATACTGGGAAAGGGGCCTAGAACATTGCTCTTGGGGGGTGGTGGGCTAGAGTAAGCCACATATCGTGGATGATGTCGCGTCGAATTTTCAACGCAGACATGCGGCGCGATCAGCTCATTTCGCCATGATGGGGAGCAAATTTAGAGGACGATTACAATTGAAATTCTGAAGTGGCCCAAAGGTATTGAAGGAAGATGGAATCGTTCGTCGATTTTCGTGTGCCCTCCGCGCACTTGCCAGGGATGCCAAGGCGCATATTTCCGCTAGTCCTATAACAGATTAGTCGATAAAAGTACCCTGTACACCCGAGTACAATATACCTTTTTCCTACAGAGAACAAATCACCAGGCAACAAAACACCTCCTTGCTGTTGCTACCGTTTCCCATCAATGCCTCAGGATATTGTTCGCTCAAGCTCGTGAGCTTTGTGAGAGACACGGGGCCCGATGACAAAGCGGAGATGAAAAAACATCCACCGACAATAGGAGTGCTGACTAACACGACGGTCTTGAGGGAATGATGGGCTGCAAACTCGCAGAAGACATGGGCCTTGGGTAAGAAACCGCTGGATCACAGTGTGCCGGCGTCTGAATCTACGGTAGAAACATGGTTGGTATTCTTTTCGACTCTCACTTTCACAGCTCCAATCATGGCTCTGGGGAATGCACTTTAGGTAAGCTTTGACAATACCCTGCGTCATTCTGGTGATTGCCATCGGCAAAAGCTCTAATCGTGTATCCTATGGCACTAAGAACTGGCTTTACTATAATTACGCGTGCTGCAGGATGCACGTCGTCGAATGGTTCCAATTTGGAATCTCCCGCTACACTGCGATGCAATGAACCCTTCCAAACACTCAGTAAATTGGAGGGTTGCACACCACACTTTTTACGTTTTACTTCAGACAGTCTACCAGTGGTCTGCTTAAATGCACGCTTTCCCACATGGGCGCCACGCGCTGCCTGAATTTAGACGATTACATGTGCAAAATTTGGTGAATATGACTGGCCTTGACAGGCGGGACGCCCCAAGACCGCCTAATAAGGACTCTCTGGTAGCCGGAGTAATCGGGTGCAGTCAAGCTCTGAAATGTGGCTCAGATGCATAAATACAATTCATTCAGCATTTCATCAGCATTGCAACGGCCAGCTATGGCTCAGGTCGATGTTACGTTCCTGCCTGTGCTTGCCCAAAGTAGTTCCCAACGAGAACGAGAGCTGTATCAGGCTGCCGCTCAGTCTCATGCGGCCAGGCTATGGCACAAGTGGCGCAAGCAAAGGCGACTCGATGCACGGCCGGTAGTTGCGAGCGAAGCATCACGGAGCCACGCCTTAGTTACGCCAGGACTCATCTCGATCCTGCAAAAAGGGAACTCGGACCCTTTCAACGCTCTCGCGATTCATGTCACCCCACGCGCCAACCAGATCTTGACTTTCTTCAAGCATGGCTATCTTCCAATGGTTTATCAAGCTGTCATGGGCTCGGAGGACGCCATCCGACGCATCGAAGCTTTGCAGAATCAGGGATACCGAGACGGAGTACTCTCGCTCCGTCTCGAATGCAGCGCCAGAGCTCTGCTCTTCATTAATGCAGCACTCATGATCAAAATCCACCCTATCAGGGGTTAGCGGACGAAGCGCTCCTTCTGAAGCATCAAAGGATCAAGGCTCTCCGCCAGGAGTTGGTCAAAAATCGTGATTCTCAGTCTCAGTCACTCATCCTCGACAGTGTGTCGATGTTGTTTCGCGGGGCTCTGATCGCTGGAGACCTGGACGAAGCGGGCCTTCACGCCGGCACTTTGAGAAAGCTGCTGGAACGCAAGTATGATCGGGAGGGCGTCCAAGATCTTGGTTTTCTCCTGCGTGTTCTCTACCAGAACAAACAACTTTCTGTTTTCCGGTTCTCGCTTTCGGTCTTAGATGCCGAGTAATGGGTTCCGAAAGTGCTCGCGGGCTATCTTGAGCCGGCCAAGGCTTACCTGGAGCCTTACCAGCAAGCCATGCTCCAAAGGCCCGACCCTTGCGTCTCTGCTGAGCCACTTCGAACCTTGATCGCCGGGACGCTTCTCGCAGACCATATGATGGGTCCTCCCGCTGAATCTCATCCGGGAGAGCAGTTATTCTTCATGGTCCGAGTCTGGATCCATACCCAGGGAACCATCCTTCACAGCCGCCTCGTTGACTTTATCCTGAAGACTGAGGCAGCCCATTAGACGGATTTCGACCGGCCACGGAGCTGCCGAATCCCGACTCTCACCGAAACCTCTACTGGCAGACGCAGCGGGTGCTAGCAGTCACACGCCTAATCATGTTCGAGTTTTGCTCAAACCTAGATTCGGTGCAAACCGTCCTCGTCAACGCGAGGGACTTCCTCGCCCGTCTCAAGTCCGCCCTGTCGCTGTCGATGCACGTTGCAGAGCTTGCACCTCCCCCCACCGATCGTCTTGGTAACAGTATTAGCAGTGACCTTGCCGGAGAACGACCTCCTCAGGGCGGAAACTGCCACGCCTTCCTCTGGGCTCTTTGTGTCGGCAGCTGGGCGGAGAAGAGACACAATCCCCACTCCTCATTGGACAACGGCGATTGTGATGCCGGCGCTAGCTTTAGCGGTAACGTCAACGGTGGCGTCAACCGCCATCATGACGACAGCTGGTGGTTCAAAAAGAATCTCCCGCTGCAAGCAAGGAAGATGGGCGTAAAGGACTGTCTGGATGTGGAAAGCATTCTGCATGGATTTTACCATGTCGATAAATACATGCCGGGGCTTGATGGGTGGGTTACTGAACTCCTACGGGCGTGCTGGTGAGTGAGTGGGCGGTTTGGCTGGGTAAGAGCACGGCGCCGTTCATTGCCGGTTAGAAGTTAGAGAGCATGGACAGAGAGATGGGCTGCTGGTTTCTCCTAAGATATGGGTCGAACAAAGGCGAGGGCAGTGACACCAGATCTCCTCGACGCCTCCTGCGGCTCCTTCAAAGCCACGGTGGCAGGGCTATTTTCAGGATCTGATGGAATGGTACGGGAAAAATTCCTCATATGTGGAAATGTTCGTATTTGTGCACCCGCGATGTAACTGCGATATATTAATAAGTTGAAAATGACGGGGATGGATTCTCGGATGATGACGAGTTATTGCTAACCTGGCATTTCCCAAGAAGTATCCAGGAGGCTTATTAAGATTTTGATAACTTACAACCTCATATGACCTGTTATAATCCAGGATGGAGCCCCGCGCCGACGTCGAGGGACACATTTTTTCAACTACCCAGACGATCAGCCAGACGCAGGGCAAGCGCGCAAAGGGTCAGGCTTGGGTTTCCGGCGGGCGACGCTGGAAAGACCGAGTTGTCACAGGCATAGAGGTTGTCGCATTCGTGGAACTTCAAGTTCTCGTCTACCACGCCGGAACCGTCACTAGACATGCGGAGAGTGCCTACTTCGTGAGCTACTCCCCCGATAGAAGCCGTTTCAAGAATGACGTTGCCATGGGAGTCGTATAAGTCTTGTTCACCCTCCACCTTCACAGCCTGAAACTCTGTGAGGACGTCTTTGGCAATTTTTTTGGCCTCGATCAGGAGGGGGTCGGGCACTGTCGCCGCATGGATGGTAACGTTGACCCTTTTTGCAGGATTCTCAGGATCCGCACTGTCACGTTCGACTTTGTTGTTGTCGTTTAGAGGAGCGTAGAACTGGAAGACGATTTCGCAGAGGAGGCCGCCGTTCGACAGAGTCGTGTCTGCGGCCAAGTGGTCCGGATCAACGTAACGGCCCTGGTTGAATTGAGCTCCTAGCTCGACGATGATGTCGAAAGCATATTGGGTTTCCGTCGCCCCAGGATGCGTTAGGAGAACTTTCGCGGACCGGGGCTCGGAAAGGGGCCCGCTGAACGGACTTGGCGATGTCGGTGGCCAGAAAGATTTTGGAATCACAAAATGACGGTAGAGGATTGCATGGTCGGTGATTCCTTTGCCGATTTTGTGGTTTGGATCAGGAAGATTGGACTTGAGCGCTATCTTGGTGGATTCAATCGTGCCTGCGCAGATAACCACCTGTTTGGCTTTGTAAGTTCGTTCTTGGTTGGCGAGTAGATCATAGCATTTGACCCCCGTGACCTTCCTGCTATTCGCGGGATCCCTCTCTACATTCCAGACTGCATGGTTGAGGTTGACAGTCACCACATGACGCGTGGCAGGTGTCTCGACCAGAACGTCCTCAAGGAGCAGGTCCGCTGTGGAGAAGATGCCGGCGGGGACTGACCAGTTGGTCGCGCCTACATATTCGACTGCAACGGGAGCATTGCTAGAATGCCAGCCCGTAACCACTCTATCCAGGATAGCTTTGGCTTCGGTCTGGAAAGCGGTGGGACCAGGATCATCTGCATTGAAGACCCGACGTGCTTTTTCATACCCCGTCTTCCCATCCAGTCCTGGCGTAAGCAGATAGTCCTTCACGACCGCCGGCCACGGTGACGCAAGTTCCCACGACGCAAGTTCTGGGATGGAACTCCCCCAGAAGATGGACCTGCCTCCGAGGTTAAAGGCCTGCGCTCCTTTGTAGTTTGAGCCTGCCTGGTTGTAATTGATGACTTTGAATGTTTCCCACAGCGACCATATATGCTTCTGGAATTTGCCTATCGCAAAACGTCGCGGAATGTTTCCCACATGAGTATGAAATAACAAAGAGCCTGCTTCCAGAACAAGAACCTTTTTTCCTTTGTCGGCGAGGGCGCTGGCGAGCACGCCTCCGCCCATACCAGATCCAATGACAATCACGTCGTAAGTCTTCGATGTATCCGTGTTCTGCTTGAGAAGTTTCTGTGCCACCACGCCATTCTCGGTGACCAGGGCGTCAAAAGGCATTACGTCCCGGGTAAAGTGCGGTACGTGAGATGGATATTGGAGAGTGCTGTACCTGTGTGAGATGCGAATCTCCACCAGCGCAGAAAAAAGAGTCGCGAGTATTGCATCTTTTGTCTGAGATAGAAGATATCGGAAAACTCTGACTGTCAGCAGGCTGGGTGCGACAATACGAAGAGGTCCCCAGCAGAAAGCCTTTCGTATCCAAACTCAGCTGTCTGCTTTCAAGGCGTGGACAGCCTGACACTTGCCAAAATTTTCGCGACTTCCCCTCACTTGGCAGCAAGTAGAGTGACCGCTGTGAGGGCTGCGTGTGTGGGAAAAGCGAGTTGTTGCAGGGTTATCGGCGCATCATTCGTTTGCCAAGAAGCCCTATGGCCCCCATCTTCTTTTTATGTGATGTCACATGTTACAAGACGGGGAATCACATCCTTTTTGGTGCTGAAGGGCGTTCAGCCTGAGAGTCTCTCGAGGCTCGAGTCGAGCAATGGCGTGGGCGCGCATAATTGAGGGGGTATCTTATTTGCGTGGATAGGACCGTGCGGACACGCCCAGATCAGGCTTTGACCCATATAGCCTAGCGTCTGTCGTTACACGGATCGATACATCAATCAATCAAAGCCTGCACCTACAGTACATGAGGCTGGGACCCTGCCTTTCTCCTCCTCTCGAGTAACTTTCGCACTAATGGCACGTCGAGACAGCATTAACCGCTCGGAAGACGATAACGCAGTCCCTCAAGCTGCCACAAGAGGCAGCTTTTGTTGAACCAATCTGGGATCAGGTAGGTTGATTGATTGACTGAACACAGAATATGCACCTGAAGTGAGAGAAGAGACTCCCGAATGCTTCAGATAGGGTGGTAGGCTGACAAGCGAGAAGGGTGCCAGAGCGCCAAGACATGAATTACCTAGCCAAATATGGCTAGTGAGATGGCCTTGGCATTTATGACAGGTTTTCACAAGATGGGAATTTGGAAGGTCAGAGAAGGTTAAGTGTCTGTCCCCATCTTCTTTCCAGAGGCCTTATTGTTCTTATATAGAGTACGGAGTACAGCCAGCACACACTATACTCTCTCATAGTCTCCCACCAGGCGCGATCCTGCGAATCTTGTGACCGCTGTCAATTCTTACACCATCAAACACGGCCGTTGCAATGTTTGCCACTTGTTCTCCCCATTCTTGCACAAAGTGTCCAGCTTCCTCGATTTCGGCATAGATGCACCCATTGCCCCAGATCCGAGCAAACTGGCCCATCACCGGCGGGCCTAGGACAGGATCTTTCATGCCGCATGCCACCAGGACGTCTTCGGCTGTTTTGAAAATACCGCCTCTGCCGAAATACTCGAGACTAGCCCGCGATATCTCGAGACCCTCCTTCCCGCCGTCGCTGACCATGACCAAATTGGGGAATCTTCGTACTCCAGCTTTAAACTCTCGACTTGGAAATGGCGCATCGTATGCTCGTCGCTCGGCGGCACTAAGTTGCGGACACGATCGGCCCAAGAGAGCACCGACTGACATATCCGGGTTCTTATTGACCCAGGCGCGCCAGGCTACAAAACCGGGTGTAGGGTCCTCTCCTGTCGCGAGCATAGTGTTCATCGCGATAAGGCGCTTGAACCGATCGGGGTCGGCAATCGGCAGAGTCAACCCGAGCAGACCACCCCAGTCTTGTACTACCAGCGTGATATTGGTAAGGTTCAGGGCGTGAATAAAGTACAGCAGCGATGAGCGGTGGAAGTGAAAAGTATAATCTTCGTCGTGTACGGGTTTGTCGCTACGACCGAACCCGAGAAGGTCGGGACAGATGACTCGACGAGGACTCGGGCGAGGAAGACCTGCTGCTGTTCGTGTTGCTGCGTTGGTGCCTCCAAGAAAGATGGGAATCATTTTTCGGTAGAGGAACGACCATGTCGGTTCGCCGTGAAGGAGAAGAAAAGTCTCTGTCGGCGTCTCCCTCTGTGTGTTCGTCGTCTTTGCGGTCTCGGAAGATCTCTCGTCAATGTAGGCCATCCGTAGATTGCCATATTGGATATATTTCGGTTCGTAGGGGAAGTCAGGGAGATCCTGGAATCTGTCGTCCGGCGTGCGAACAAAGGGGATGTTGACCGGGGGAGACGGCATTTTTCATGGTCGAAAGTTTCAGAGAGAAGTGCAGGAGTACTATACAGAACTCACTCGTGAAGCAGGTATGCTTTTATATAAGGATGGGTTTTCAAGTCCACGAATGAATTCAATCAATGAATTAGTCAGCCAATCAAACCCAACTACAGCAGAGCCAAAAAGTACCAAGGTAAGTCTGAAGCTCAACAGTGGAAGGTGTTTGTTCCTTATTATCGGCGATCCTTGTGTCCCCTCTGTTCCGTGAACACAGACAGCCGAGGCTTACGGTAAGGGCAGCCTCGATGCCAAGATATCCGCCCTAGTCCCCTCCTTGTTTCTGTAACTTCTAGTACACTATATAACTATACTGCTATCACTGGGGACATGAAATAATCCCTCTTCGGAAACAGTACGAGATCTGTTTGACTCCTCGGAAACGACAGGTTTCATTGACTACGTTGCGCCGCCTTTTGCGCAGTGGACTCATATACTGTAACAAGGCGAAGTGGCTGTGCTGTGCTGGGCTGGAAGAATGGTAGCAGGGGGAGAGTTTGTCTGGTCACATGTCAAACCAAAATGGGCTGGTTAGGGGAGTGCGAGACAGTTTACCGTGCTAGAAGAGTGCCATTCATTACAATTTAGACAGGGTATCAGTATTCCATGCCTTTGATGCCGTCTACCTATTCCTGAGTGTTTCATCGGCCCGTTCCTCCTTCTCAATGTCGTCGGCGTGCTAGGCGCTCGCTGCCCTAGCTGCTGCATCTCTGGGGGTGGTGTTGGTGGTGGTGTTGCCTTGTCAGTGTCAAGCAGAAACGCGTCCTCGATTCCAGATCTGCTGGACAGGCCTCTGTGCGTTGTTGCACGTGCACGCCGAACCCTGAAGTGCTCTGTTACACTAGGTATAGGAGACTAATCTGAAATAACGCAGGCGACTTCCCGTGGCCTTGCAGTGTGTTCCGACGATCGCACTCTTTATCGGTGGATTCTTCATTCCTTTCTCTCCTCGATGGCGTAAGTGCCTTCTACCCTTGATCCTCTACTGCTGGGACGACTAACTCAGGACTCTAGTGGCCATGAGAGGAAGACATGAAGAAGCAAGGCGCTGCGGCGTCTCCATGATGATCACGCGAATCCCTTGTTCTGGGAGAGGGAGTACGCACAAATGGTTGCTCAGCTGGAACACGAGCGACGACAGACCGCCGGCGTCAATATTTTCCACATGTTCACTAACTGGCGAGAGCTGTACCGAGCACTACTCGCCGTGGCAGGCCTGACTAGCCTACAAACTAACGGTGCGCAGACCATTTTCATCTTCCAGGTACATGGGGAGCAACTTGTCCGCGTTTAACGTATTTGGTCAGCGGACTGACTCTATTACTTAAAGTCGATCCTTTGCGCGAGTCTTGAGTACAGTACCGGCAAGATCCCTCTTATGGCATGTTTCTTCCAGTTGCTATGCATCTTTGGGGGTATCGGAAACATACTGGTAATCGACTGGCTGGGAAGGAGAATTTTGATGATGTCCTTCCTCATCGGTCTCTCAGTCATCCTCGGCGCCTTTATGGCCTGCGTTGCCGAATTTGAGCAGGATTTACAGACCATCCATCTTGGAGGGGAGCAAGAGACACAAAATCTCTTCCACCCAAGGCCGATATAGTCGACGTCAGCCCCCACGAGCAGGGGACCAGTTTCCACGCGTCAACCACAGATTTTGTAGTAACACGCGTGGAATCGCCTTAGAATAGCACCAAACGCTCCGATGCAGACTCCCTCTCCTCCAAGGTTGTCTCATTCATTAGGTCTGCCTCTCAAGCACTTCACCAGAGCCCACAGGAGCCGCTCCACGACCCAATATATGTCGATTACGATACCCCTTTCTCGGGTTATCGTACCAGCTTCCTCGAGCCCAACTGTCCCCCAGTCACTAACCTCTGTCGGGACGAGGCGGATTGCTTAATGGACATTTTCTGGCACTATCTGTACGTCGACATCCCCATCCTTGATCGACACACGTTCCAACAACACTACGAGAGTCTATGGTCCGCGGACGGACCACAGCATACTGTTTCGCCGCCTGTTGACGCCGTCACAGTCGTTTCATCACAATACGCCCATAGAGCCGATTTGATTGAAAGAGTTCTGGGCTTAAGGCATCCTCGGTGCACATGCCACGGCGATATCGGACTGGGGGCATTCTTCTATCTTCGACGATGTCGTCGTATGATCGATGGCACCGGTACCGTGGGTGAGCCATCACTGACCACAGTGCAAACATAATTTTCATGGCCATTTACCTACCCAACGCAGGGCAATACCAGACTGCGTATACCTTGCTAGGATTGGCTATCCGGTTTGCGTACGCGTTGGATCTTCACAGGGATGACCCCGTTCCCCTGGACTTAAGTGACGTCGAATGGAAAAGAAGAACCTGATGGGTGCTCGTCATGCTCGACCTGAGATGTTCCACCGAGCTAGGCAGGCCGACAGCGACATGTGGCACAGCCCTGACCTGTTCCATACCATCACCAGATATCCCGAGACCTCACGCCAAACTTGAGTATCATGTTTGGACCGCAAAACTTACCGCGGTTTGGCTGCTCTTGCACGAGAGTTTGGCACGATCCAAGATGGACGGCGCTATTTCCCACGGAGGGGTGGTCGACATGTCTGCCGAGACTCTGGCACAGGTCGCTGCGCCCTTGGAAACTTGGAGGGAAGAGATTCGGAACAGTGACACGTTCGCTCATTTGAATCTCGACAAGCCCTTATCATTTGCATCAGACTCTGATCTGTTGCCTGAATGGTTGCAGAGGCAAGTTATACTGCTCTCGCTTCACTATCACGATATCTTGAGCATGCTCTACCGGCCGCTCACTATGCAGTCACTTTCCGGTCGTCTAGGGCTCGATCGCGAAGCCGATGATGTCGATCCTCTCTCAAACAGAGACTTGCGACATGCGCTCAGCGTCATTGATATAATCTCCCTTGCCCTTCGCACCTCAGACCTCCTGTATGGTCAATTCGAGTTATACAGTTTACAATGGAACGCGATGCTGAACTTAGTTCTTTCATGTCGGCCTACCCTCTGGCTATGGATCCCGACACTGCGATCAGTAAACTCGACCGTGCTGTCTTTCTCTTCCAGTTGAGCGAGAAACGGTACGCGGTTGCCAGGCGGGCGAACGCCCTTTGGCTCAAGCCTCCGGGCTGCAGGAATTCATATTGTCAAAGACACGAATCGTAGCGTCAGAAGTGACCTGAGCCATCCCCTGCCCCAGTATCAGACGACCGTACAATCGCCAGTCGCCATCGGAGACCACCCGCCATATGAAGCGAACGAAAATTCCGAAAACGTATGATCTTGGATGCAAGATCTCGAGACAGCCTTCTGGAGCGAGTCAAGCACCGAAATAGAAGCGCTACTGAACGAGAGCAATGGCTGGAAGTGATTGGAGTCCGAGCTGTTCTTCCCTTGACGACTAATGCACCTCCTGTTTCGCCATACATTTCATTTTTGATGTGATTAGCAAGTCCCCCAGAAGTGACAGATACACATCACCACAAAAGTCTTTTGCGTCCAGATTCCCTACCGACGCCGCGGCGGGCCAGCAGGGCGACGAGACACCCGCTTCGCCATCCTAGAGTCATTCGATCAGAAATAATGCGATAAAAAAGTACGGCCAAACCGGAGTGCAATGTTCGACCAGTCGCGCGAGCCATGGCCATGGCAGACGACAGTGTCGGATTCAAGATGTCTTCCAATGTGAGAAGATAGGAACTATGGATCGCTGTGTTACGCCACCAGGCCTCCAATTTTCAGTCCTGAAGGTTGGCTTCACCAAAGGCAAGTTGTGGAAGTGCCTCGATTACCGAAGTCAAATTAGTAGATGGGTCGAAACATAGCCCTTGTAATTCTCTTGCTGAGAAACTACTGGATCATTTTCCTTTCTATCCAGCCTCAGCATACTTGGTAGAAAGGCCGAATCTAGACTATACCGGAAACGGCTGGACCGTCTGGACCGAAGGCGTAGTTCCCAACAACGACTTTACATATAGAATCCCGGGTGGCAGCTGCTACGCCGGCGATCGTTCAGCTTAAACGACCCTCAGAAGAATACCCATCAGTTGTCAGAGATTTGGGCCAGCAAACCAGGACCAAAAAAGGCTTCGCTCGCTGCGAGGTGTGGCCGGGCGCTGAAGCCGTTCGAGTCTGTTTCCTCGTGCGAGGACCTCACTGCTTTCTTGTACCTTTGAACAGGCTTCACAGAGGCTAGTCAGCCACATGTATCTGATCAAAGTGCTATATCTAACATGGAGACGGCTCGAGCGGCAATTGCCTTGAGTGATTTGATATCAATCTCTGCTGCTACAACCACCAGCCAGGTTTCGAATCCCGGGAGAAATCCAGTGTGACCTCTATCCCATGGTAGCCATAGCAAGTCATCATTGCTCAAAGTGTGAGACGACCCATAATCGATTGCTCGGGGGTTGCACGCCTCAAGAAGTGGATAGAAATGTCGCGTGAGGGACGAAGGCACGCGTGATCTCAGTTCAACAAGAAAGTTAACAATGACAGCTTCTTCGAATGACTTTCTTCCTTGAGCTATACACCCAAGCAAATTCATACCCAACGGGCCTTACTACAAGGGACTGTAAGCCCAACTTCATATCCGTCTCACATCAGTGCGAATAATGGCGTCCAAAGTATTCCACACCGCAATGCGGAAACTTCAACTCGGTCAAGAAAGCCTGGCGCGCTGTATTATCCGCATGGACACTATCCTCGGTGGGTCGTCCAATCCTTTCCACCAACAGTACGCCACAATACTCGGAATACCCTTTGTCACCACTGAACCCGTCCACCGGCGCGCCCTTTAACACGGCCCTATGCACCTTCCTCCACGAAAACAGGCACTGAAGCTCTTCATACTCCTTAGGGGTGTATACTTTCTCAACCCTGCCTTCTTCAACCTCAGTCCTTGACACACTCTGCGTCAGGTTCTCGTCCAAAAACCACTCCCACTCACGAACACTGCAGAACTCTTCGCACAGCTCCGGATCATGACAGGCTGGTGGCATCCAAGCAAAGCTTAAGACGTCGAATTTGCAGTTGTTGGACAGGGCTTCGGCGCGGGTGGAACCGCAGAGTGTCAAGAAGGGAGGATGGCGAGGTGGGCGGGGGCTCTCTGCGGCGATGAGGCGGAGGCATACGCTGACGAAAGCCAGGATAGCCAAGATGGTCCCGAGTATCGAGAATATTTTCAGCTTGTCGCAGTGGGCAATGGCCTTCTCTTTGTTCAGTGACCGTTCGGGGTCACGCTCTCGGTCCGCACCAGGGAGTAGCTTGTATCCGAGATATCTATTCATGTTGACGGGGATTGTTGTGAAGTTTCGTTCAAATTCCATTCGCATAGCTCCGGTGCCGGGAGGATGGATTCCAGCGTCTTCTGGATATTCGTGAGTGCTACGGCTGGCAAATTTTCTGGTTATATGTTCTGGAAACGGGTTGAGCCTCTATTTGAGAACAAGGATGCTCGACAAGTCCGTCGACAACTAGGCCAGCTCATTTCCTGCAAACATGAACCAACCCGTGGGAGTACCCCGGCACTCACGCGCATATTATATCCTACATCTTTGTTCGCTGATGACGATCACAGCATAAGACATTCGTCTGAGTCTTTCGGGTTTGTGCCGCATCAGCACACCACCACCACCACCACTTTGGGAAGTTCTGGATCTAATCACATCCAGCAAGGCAAGTGTGTTCTCAAAGAGAGCCCGCTCTTGAACGCCTGATCATCTATCAGCGATGAGCATACACATGCGTGTTGGGTAAGCAAGGCTCCAGCAAGGGCTCTAGACTAGGAAATCGTGATGACCCGGGGTTTGTCTCTGGGACGATTCTGAGAAAGGTTGTTGTCAGCTTACCTCCCTATCTGGGGTCTTCAGCCTTGTTATGATAAGACCTCATAGATCCAAGACTTGGCAAAGACAGCTCGCTTAAGGGTGCTGATGCGCGACGATGACTAAACACGAAGACAATGGAGTTTTGTGTCGTCTCTTCGACACCAAGGTCAATCCTGTGCGTCCTTCTCGATTTCTCTCTGCCTTTTCTAGGCATGCTGCGCGGTGCAACCACCACTATCATGTGAACGCAGTAACTTGACCGGGAAGCTGATCAGACATGCCTTCTAAGTCGGCGGAAAGGGCTAGCTGCGGCAAATTTCTCCGATCAAACCCGCCTGGAAAAGCTTTGTTGAGGTTTGAACTATACAATGTCTGCAGATTTTCCCCGTGCCCGACGAAGCTTCCATTTTCAAACCCTTGCAATGAAGCGGGTTGCGCAGGAGAGTAAAGATCTGGATCTTCGAAACTTCGGATTAATTCGTTGGCAAAGTCCGGAGGTCCTTCAGGGGGTATCGGTATGTTGCATCTTCGAAAGAGACCAATCAGGATGCCTGGCAGTGTCCTGCGCAAAAAAGCCGGCGAGGGAACTCGACGCTCTACACGCTCTTTGAAAGACCAGTGGTCAGCCGCGTATTTCCCCTGGGCTGAGCATGGCTGATACTTAGAGGGAGATGAAAGCGGTAGCTCCTCAGGAAATAATAGGATTCGACATATATCTTTGAAGCTCTCTTCGATAGGTCCGTGGAATCGCTGCTCTTTTATGGCATACCACTGAGCTGTGGTCACCTTCGTGAATTTCTCATGGTGGATGACTGAACAAGATGGCTCTTGTCTTGAACGGATGGCGATTTCTTCTTGGCTGTTGAGGACGGGAAAGCACTTCCCGCAGTAGTGCCGGGCCGCTTGTGCACTCTCCCGAGATGCTGTCTATTACCGTATGTCAGCACCACACACTGAGTCAGTCGGAATTCTCACTTACTTCAACCTGGCAATATTATGAAGCTCCACTGCTTCACAATTGCGATATTCTTTTTGTAGCCTATTGCGCCACGAGAATGTCTCACGATCGTACCAACAACATGGATATATAATCAGGAGCTCTGGCGGTCCAAAATCTCGAGTATCAGGGTCGTCTTCGGAGTCGTCGTCCTGCTCATCGTTACGCTGAGCTTTCTTCCTCTTGTTAGGGCGATATTGATTGAGCCGCCCAGTTGTTCTGCCACTTCGAGATGATTCGTTCTGTGCCTGGGCCATGTAGCCTGTGGTATCTACCAGTGATGCCGTATTGGCAGCGACTGTCGTCAGGGCATGAAGCAGATCCCACTGTACACGCAAGACTCGATCACGAGCTGTCCAAGAGAGCAGGACCTCATGGCGAGCAGCAGTTACAATGGATCTTCGGGGCCTCGGTATTGTCCTCCTAGAACCAACTCTTGGCTCTCTTTTCGATAATAAAAATAGGATTCTAGCAATTCTGAAACCGTCGAAGTACTCATGTCGATATCGAGCATACTCGGCCGATTTTAGAAGCATGGTAGGCCTCCCTCCCAATATCTGGTAGTTTGGATCTAGCGAAAATCAGCATTGAAGTGGCAGAATTGGGAAACTTGACGACATACAGGGCGATCTAAGTAGAGGAGAACAAGGAAAGACAATTTGGGAGATATCATACCAGCGCCTCTCCTTCCAGTTACTGCTCTAGCGGCTCTCTCGCATAAGATCGATTGACTGCTTTTGTTGATCAGTCATTGCTTCCTGATAAGGGGTTTTCCACTTGTGCGCAAGAAGGTCTTGTGTTTTCGTGCCCAGCGAGTATTTGTGCGTCGTCAAAATTGATGTAGCACCGGTTGCAGTAGTGCTTCGGAACTGAATACACACATTTTGGATGCTATCTGCTCATCATTGCGATAAGCAAGCAGCCAGGTTGCTTTGCTGGACTAGAAATCATCCTTGACCGCATCAATGCTTGCGAGTGCGCAACCAAGCAACGGTGGTGACGGGACCGTTCGTCCAGCTTGGCATAAGCGCAGGCCAGCATACGACGGGGTCACTTGATACGCATGAATGCGCCAGGTGTGTTGTCCCCATTATCCCTACCTCGGCCATCTTTATTGTCATCGGGACCGCCGAGACCGCTAGGAGGCTCTTCTTTTGTGGCCTTCGAACTCCCGAAAGCCGAGATTGGCTGTGATTTGCTCGCAGAGGACTGGCTAGAAGCGTCGGCCGGCCTTCTTGCCCCCAGCTCCTTGACTACGACGTTTGAATTCATGGCGGAAGTTGTGACTTTCCGGGTAGTTGCCTTCATTCACATAATATAAGTCGCAGGAAAGCTTCCGCAGTAGATCTTGCATAGAATACCCAGTAGATGGAACTTGGTGTGCTCGTTGGATGGAGTCGTCGTTGAAGTTGGGTGGTTTTTGAGTACGCCAAATATATAGCGACACTCCGGCACCGTGGTGGTCGACTCCCTTAGACAATCGCCTGCACAGCAAGTACGAGGAAAGCAGTTGAACATGGGTCCATTGTTGAGGTCTGGGTAATGCATCCATGGCCCATAGGGCTGAACAGGACAGGCCATGACCGGGCCAACACTGAAGAAGCTCGAATAATATTGTGACGGTAAAGTTTTTGTCTTGTAACTTGTTCCGGGGAGAATTCTGGAGGTAGATGATTAATGTCAATAGGTCAAGAAATTGAGACTCGATATGGGTGTGACTTGGCGTCCTTGCGTGCGTTGTCGCAGAGGCTCACAGCTGTGCAGAGCGGGCAGGGCGAGGCCCAAATGAGGTCACAGGGCTCAATTGCGCCTTGAATGTTAGCACTCCTCTGTATGACTACGCCAATCTTGGTCAATTCACCCGTGCGTTTCTTGCTTGTACCTTGCGGCAACACACCGACAAGGCTTAGCCTAGTGAGGCGTCATACACAACATTTGTGCTCCTCGCTACTGTAGGTCAAAGTGTGGAGTCAGGCTCTTGTCAAAGATGCAATAAAATATTCTGCACCAGGCAAACCGCGGATTTCAGGTCCATCCAATCATCCTGGTCTGCAGCTACCTAGGTAGACAAAGCCTTCAGGCGCCTAAATCGGTGCCTAAGGATGCTTCGCAATGGCTACGGCAAGGCGGCCGACGCTCCATCGACTCGGAAAATCCCACCTTGGCTACTCAGTCGCCGGCTTGCACCTCACTTTGAGATGATTCTCTGCATAGAAATACGGCAGGAAGGAGTCGCGAAACCTCAAGTCTGCGGGTGGGGAGTCCTTGTCGATCTCCAAAAGCTCGAACCGTCGCAACATGGTGGCAAAGGCGACATACAGCTCGCACCATGCAAGGTTAATACCCAGACACGACCTTGGGCCTCGACTGAAGGCGACAAGGTTGGATTCAAGATCCCTGCTGGTGGAGGTGGAGGTGCTCGTGTGGAGCCACCTTTGCGGCATGAACGCGTTTGGGTTGTCGAAGACGGTCGCAGATGAATGGACAAAGATGCCCGAGATTCCCACCACCGTGCCTGGTGGGACTTGGCGGGAAGCAATTGTTGCACCCTTTGCCGGGACGACGCGAAGCAGAGGAGACACCACGCCTGGAGCCACCCGCAGAGATTCTTTGATGGTTGCGGTGAGCAAAGGTAGAGACTCGAATGCCTCGAAAGAGCTCGGCGGCTTCGCAAGATCAGGCCACGCGGAACGAACCTCGGTGCGTAGAGACTGGTACAGTTCCTGGTTGGACGGCTGCAGAATGTGATTGAAGCCTACCATCAAAGTGTTTCCAACAGTGTCGCCGCCTCCAAACATCAAAGCCTGGGCCTCTTCATATAAAGATTGCTTGTTCGGCAACGGCTGGCCTTTCTGCGCTTCAGGATCGAGTAGGCGATGATAGATGATCGGATGCGGAGCCTCTTTGAGGATACCTGGATTTGCAGTTACTTCGTCGACTTGATTTCGTAAGATGACCTGCAGACGCGTCAAGCCTGCCGTTTCCGGAGAAGCTTTGACAGCGATCTTGGGTGGAAGACAGAAGACAAATTTGCGGAACAACGGCAAATGCTTGAACTGGATGAAGGCCGGGCCAGATGCCTCCATGGCTTCAATGATGGGCGCGTTGTAGCCAGGTACGTCGATCGCGTTTACGGATTTGGCAAAGCAGAAACTGGTAATTGTGTCCATGGTAAAGCATCTGAAGGCGAAAAACAAGTCCGACGACTTCCCGGCTGCGTAGTCTTCCGAGAGTCTCGCTACAAGGTGGTCCATCTTGGTGGAAAGAAAGTCAGAGAGTCCTCAGTGGGAGGCCCGTCCCCACTTACATTCTTCCGGACAAGACTCTGCATTTGCAAAATGTTTCGTCTGGAGAAGAGCGGCTGCAAGACATCTTTGCGTTGCTTGGCCTCGTGATATTTGAGGAACCCAAACGAGGAGTGGTCCTCGCCAAAGCATTCATACAATGCCTTGTCTTTGTCCCATCGGTTCACATTATTGTAGATATCGTGGTATGCTTGCGGATTAGAGAAATGGAGCTGGAAAATCAGCTAGAGACATGAGAGTGAGAACGAGCGTGTGCTGACCTCGTTTGGAGCAACACGAATCACATCTCCTTCATGTCACGTTAGTACCGTCCATCTCCTAAACGCCGTTGACTTGCCATAGCGTTGATGCAACTCAATCAGGACATCAGTCCAGCTCCTCTGCAGGAACAATTCGATATAAGCCTTGTACCAACCTGAAACCTGTGCTGCAAGGGGACCTGGATAATCTCGGAGAGGATGAAGTAGGATGTTATACAAAACTTGCGCAAGCTGAAGGAACAGCGAGGAGAATATAGGCAGCAGGACCACTGAAAAGGGGATGTTCCACATGTTGCGTATGTTGAGACACATCACCCTGACAATCGATTACATAGAGATGTTCCGTAGACAGCCATCGACCCTGTGGGAATGTCCACTTCAGCGCTTTCGGCATGAAACTTGGAGGTTGCAATTGAGGGATTGCACAGTGATTTAGCGTCATGCTGCCCCGTCGACGTAGATGCGGTGCGGGAGCCAATCCGACGATGATTTGTTTGGTGGCAGGCAGATAAGCAGCAGTGATACCTTGCTCGCTAGGTACGTGGCCTACTGGTGTTGCAGAAGCAAAAATGGTTGAACGGTGCTGAACCATCGGCGGAGTTTTAGCCGGCGCTCCACCGCCCCGCTGGTTCACATCCTTGTCTCGAAACGCCAGTCGATGTGCCGAGAGGTAGTTGTTTATTGCTACTCTTGCCGTGGACAGACCTTTCGGCTTGAGATAGCAGCTCGCAGGAGTCGGGGGCCGAAACCAGACCGGACCAGACAGCCTCTACTCCCACAATTGTACCTCCCTGGCTGAACGTTGCCTGAAGCACAATCGGCAAAATGGGGTCCTTCATAGCCAGGGAAAATATCCATGAGCTATTTACCTGGTACTGTCGGTGACCCAGATCCTCGGATCATCGCAACAGCTGATGGGCCAGCCGGGCTTTCTCTTCCTTCTTGGTCTTCACATTTCTGCGCGGCTATGCCAATGCCAGGCCAAGGAATTCGAGAAAAAGAAGAGAAACAGAACAGGAGATTACGGGCAATGGTGTGATATCTGTATTTGCCTGTCCCGACGACCTCGTATCCAAGTTCGCCAAGATACTCTACTTGGTAATCACGGAGTCGCGGGGAAAGAGCGAGACTGTGACACGCGGCCAATGAATCGAGCGCGTGTTTGGGCGTGTTTCGCGTTCCGTGCTTCGTGGCTGCTGAAGGGGAACTGCACCAACTGCCCCCCTTGTTTCGTGGCTGCTGCCATGTGACACTGTGGCACGGTGACGGGCACATCACAATGACGCATTGACGTCGCCATTTGGCATTCACTGATGATTAGCCACTTCATGCTCAATGCCGCATGCCGCACGCCGCACAAAAACACAGTCACCAGATCCTCGTGCCACTACAACTTGGCACATCAACATCTGAAGTCTTCGATCCTGACCAACTCGAAATATCAACTTAAATTTGACACTCGACTCGGCCCTGAGATGTAGCATTCAGGATCCTCCCCCGCAGCGAGGTAAATCTGCAAAACCCACTGTGAGCGCATCTGGACTCCACCTCACCGGCTCTTTTTCCGCTGGCATATCTCTCCCGCATCACCAGGAGGACACACCATCGGCCAAAAAGGGACGAACAGAACACACAGTAACTTTGACGCGATATATCCCGCCAAAACCACTCCCTCTCTGCGCGACCTCTTTTGAGGATTAGTAAAACCAAAAAAAGAAAAGAAAAGAAAAGAAAAAGAAAAAAGAAAAAGCAAAAAGGAGCGAAACACCCCGCGCGAGCAAAGTCGCGCCTCCCTAACAATGGCCTCGCCACCCTCCTACACCGCAGCCGACCCCAGAAGGGACAGATTACCACCGTACAAGGCGTCGCACGGCTTCGCCAACAGCCAAGAAGAACTCGCCGCGCTCAGAGAATTCGCCGAATCCAAACTGTACGTCGAACCCGGGTCCAATGGCATGTTACCGGACCTGCGCGGCGGGGCGGGAGGACTGCAGTCTCTTGCGTGGGGAGGCCCTACGCAGTCCTCGCGGAATCCTTACTGGGAGGTCGGGTGGCCCGAGCCGGAGACCAAGGAGGAGCGTAAGAGAAGAAAGCAGCAGGAGAAGCAGCGGAAGAAGGAGGGGAAGGGCAAGGACAAGGACAAGGAGACAGAGAGGAGAGGCAGCGTAGCCGAGAGGCTGATGAGGGTCATCAGTCGAGGCAGCAGCAAGGACGGAGACACGAGCTCTTGACAAAGGGGAGGAAACAGGCATGGTTTCTTTTTCTCAGTTCACTTTGTCTTTGTTTTCCTCCCCGGCTGTTCATCATTGCAAGTTGAATGGCTGTGCTGTTGTTATTGTTAGGGAAAACATCGGGCACATTATTGAGATCCTTTTGCTTGGCCAGGTGGGGAGGAGAACCGTCGATATCGGCATCAATTCCGTCTTCATCTCGCATTTGAATTTTGTTCTTTTGCGGAGTCTATCATGATTGCTTCTTTGTCACAGCACGGACAGTTTGGCATGGCATGGCATGCAATAGGCACCTAGGTATTTGCGGCTGCGTGATGCTGCAAACACGCCGCCTACGCTCATGTCCTCGGTACTCCGTCCCACTCCACCCCGAACCCGCGGCTTAGCAATCCTAATACGCGCTCCGCCACCAAGGAAGCCTCGCTCTGAACACGACACAACATGACGGCTTACCAGAGGAGAATTTGACACAGACGCCATTCCAATCGGGGGCCGGACCAGGGGCACGTCCTGCCTCTATTATCGATCACACGCTGCACCATGACGTCCGCAGCCGGAAAGCATGCTCAAAAGAGGATGTCCAGCGGGTAGTTAGTTAGGCGTACCTCAACAAGCATCACTACTTATTATCTACTATTACGGTTATGCGCCAACCCAGGTAAATAGGCATTGTGGTAGTGTGGTAGTATGTCCCATAACTCTCCGCTGGGTTCCTCCGTGCCCGAACCCAGCCCAGCCAGGCACGGGATCGGGGTTAAGCTCCATGCGTGTGTTTGTGGCGTTATTTGATATGCCCGAGAATGATACCCGAACTAGCTAGCTACCTTCATATCATGTTTGTCAATTGCGTCAGCGTCGCCGTGCATTAATTGATTAATTAATCACATGGCTAGTTAGGTGTTTACAAGTATGCATTGTTCTCAGGTAGGTGCCCTGAAAGGGAGGCAAGCGTCCAGATGCACCCAAACGGACCGGATCTCTATATAAACATCGAAGAGCTCCGCCGTCGACGGAACAGTTCAAATCATCCATCAACATATTTATTTACCAGGCTGCCGAAAGGTGAAACATACACACAGTCTGTCTCTCACCAGAGCCATCGAGTGATCCATGGATTCATCCAAGTACTCCCCGTTCACCGTCCTGGAGACCACCTACAAGGTCGTCGACAACAGGCACAACATCAGCGTCTACACCTTGATTCCCAAGACCTTGCAGCCGCCATCATCGTCACCGCGGCCCGTGATAGTCAAATTCCACGGTGGCTTCCTCATCACAGGCACGGCGCTGTACCCGGACTGGTTCCCGCAGTGGCTGATCGAGTACGCGCTGCGCCACTCAGTGGTGATGGTGCTCCCAAACTATCGGCTGGCACCCGAGGCCAGGGGGATGGAGATCATGGAAGACATGCACGATTTCTGGCGCTGGCTGAAATCCGATTTCCAAGCGCACCTTGACGTCGCCGCGCCAGGGACCAATGTCGATCTGCAGCGGGTGCTGTGCACGGGCGAGAGCGCCGGCGGGTACCTGTCTATCCAGAGCGCGCTGGGGAGTGCGACTGACGGCGGCATATTGCTCCGCGCCGCCATCGCGACGTATCCCGCCCTGGATTTGAAGTCAAGGTTCTACACCGAGGAATATTCCAAAGTCGTCCTAGGGGCGCCGACGGTCCCGAAGACCGTCATGGCCGACCACCTGCGCGCGCTCGACGAAGACGCAAAGACCGGGAACAGGAGAATCGTCACTTCCGCGACGCCCCCGGAGAGATTGCCCCTGTCGCTCTCGATGGTGCAGCAAGGCCTGATGACCAAACTCCTGGGCGACGAGAGGGTCTTGTTCCCGTTCGAGAGAGTCGAGGATGTCAACCCTGACGTTGTGCCGCCCATCTTGATCATCCACGGGCAACATGACAGCGCAGTCCCTGTAGAAGGGAGCGAGAAGTGGGTAGAGAAGGCCAAGGAGAAGCTCGGAGACGACAAGGTTGTGCTGGTTGTCCAGCCCGGTGAACACGGGTTCGACACGAACGAGGATGTAACGCTTGAGACGCCGTGGTTGAAGGATTCACTGGCGCCGATTACCGCGACGTGGCTGGGGAGAAAGTAGGACTCGGGTCCTGAGCTGTCAAGTTGAAGATAGATACAGGGCACCACTTAGCATGTACCAATGTGGTAGACAAATAGCAGGAAGGGTGCTTATATGGCGTTAAAAGAGGTTGCGCATCAGCATATCATCCCATTCGTGTTAGAGAGAGCTTCATACTCGACGAATGTCATGCCTTTGTAATCAAAGAAGCCCAGGTCTGTCCAGAGGGTTGATGCGTCGACGCTGACTACCAACTTATGTGCACCCGGACACTTTAATGGCTCAGCTATATCGAGTTCCGATGGCCAGTCAAGCCCAGCAACAGGGGGAAGGCAACGATATTTGATCACCAACCTCTCTGAATTATCCTCGATCTTGCATGTTCCATCCGGGAAGCTAGTGGTGCTGACAGGTGGAATTTCTATGTACTATCTCAGCAGCCAAATCTGCAAGATCAGCCGTTTCTGAACCTAGACAACTAGCTAAGTCAGGCCATCGCGCAGATGAAGTAGACGAAATATTCGGCTTCGACCATGTTTTCCAGAAGGTTTACAAGCGAATGGCGTGTGGCGGTGTTAATACAGACACTGAAATACACTGGCTGTGGTCCAAATTTTGAGGAGCTTCATTGTGGAGACTCTTGGGACTTGTATCTCGTTCTGGAAGAAAACTGGACTCCTGACAGTGAGTGCCTTGTGCTTGGTATCTGCATATCCTAGAGCCTGTAACTAAAGGTCGATGAAGGCGGAGTGTCTCCAGGTACCGAGTTTGGCCCCAGTTCGTGTATCGCAACGAAGCTGGTAAACGAGGGCAAAGTCGTTGGCGACAATGAGGTCTCGGGTCACTCATAGGCTACAGCGGCGGGGCCATCAGCAACCACGAAAAAGGTATTGGTTTGCTCGCCACAGATAGACAACCATTTAGACTGTAAGCAGTACAGAGGACACGGAGACGTTCCGACTGGAACGCCTGCTGGGAGAAGCGTTCGAGGCTTCAGATACGGTAGCACGAAGCCTTAAAGCGGAAGCCCAAATCTTCTCAGCCTTGCTGCTATTGATTTACTATTTCGCTAGGACAGATACTATATAGCCTAGTTGTTTCTCAGCACCAACCACTCCACCTGCATCTCTAAGCCCTTTAGGACTAGTGACTCAGGGTTTTTTAAAACTCCGATTTCCGAGTCTCTCCTTCCCAAACTTCTATTCTATCTCGCCATTTATATCAAGCATGTCACCCTTGTTGCGGGTCTATGAATCCTACCATTCTAGGATTATGCTCTCTTACAAATTGGGCCTTGCCTTCAACAATGTTGAGGGGCCGAGTGTGTCCACAGGCACGGCCTGAGGGCCGTTCTGCCAATCTCAAAGGGTCCTCCAAAGAGTTCATGGCCTCGGTAACCTGAGTCGCTGTCATCCTCCCTTGGACTGCAAAGGCGGAACCTGAGTTGGTCCTTAAGCTGGATTAGACCCTTGCACCGCTTCAGCTGTCTCGCCATTTGCCAACATCACTGCCTGGTAATACACATTGGGAAACTCGAAATACGATTGCCCTTCTACTGGGAAGGACACTATCTCATTGCTAGTGGAAGAACACAACCGTATCTTTTCTTCCCTGAAGCTGAGGCCGCGACCTGCATCTAGATGCCGCAGGGAAATTATGGGAGAGATTGCTCCAAAGTTTGTGCCTTCCCTCATTGTCTTCGGATCACTGACGCCACTGCCGGCGCCCGAGTATCGTTCTCAAGTTCGTGCTCTTCTTATACTGGAACCTTCGCTACGCGGGGTTTTGGCATCCATCCGAGAACTCCCCTCCCTATGGCACACTCTCTCAGGCCGCGACCCACGATTAGGCTCTGTTCCTGGGCTTCAGTGCTTGCAGGACCTCTGCGAGTGGATTGATACGGGAGAACTCAAGCTTCCAGACGGCGCAGTGCCCAATTCGTTGAGCATGCCTTTCACTGTCGTCGTACAGGTTGTTCAGTATTGCCATTACCTTTTGCAAACAACGCGAGACCGGCTATCACTCCAAAATTATTCAACATGTGCGTCTCGGCGGCATACAGGGGTTTTGTGTTGGCCTACTGACGGCAATCGCCCTGGCCTGCTCTCGGACCAAAGAAGACCTAGATAAGTTCTGTTCAGTGGCTATTCGCCTTGCTGTGTGTATTGGAGCTTATGTCGATCTGCATGTCTCACGGGGACACCAACACGCAATCATCTCTTGTCACCAGGTGGGCTGAAGAGGATGGGCGTGACCGGGTTTAGCAAAGCATAATAGACTACCCTGAGGTTTGTTAATTGAGCTCCGTATGCTGTGCTTACTGACGCTTATATTATATTGCTGTCGTCAGTGATGATACTGATGTGACCATTACTACCAGCAAAAGGACACTGAATTAAGTCAGCGGTTGACAGATTAGGGAATTGCGACGAAGGCACTTGGGATAGACGGCTGATATCATACCACCAAAAACAGCGAAATCATGCATTGTGTTTCGAAGCTCTGTGATTCAGTGCCGGAACTAGCGTTTCCGCACGCAGGCGAACTTCAGGCACTGGTTCGGTCGAACTTCGATGCCCAGGTATTCTCTAATGACGTGCCGCTGCGTCAACATGCGTTGAAATGTATACTGATTGACACGGCGAACTGGAACTTGGCAATGACAGCTACCGTGTCGCAACTAATGGTGACAACTCATCCACTGTGCCTCTTATTCGGGCTTCGTGACTGTATCCCTCCTAGAATTGTCCGCGAATCTGGTATGAAGCCCGTGAAAATGTGGCACGAGAAATTGGTTACGACGACGAGTTTCATCATGGACAAGGAGTCCTGAGCGTCAGCACCAACACAGATGCTATTTGTAGGCCGCTCGATGTCTACCCTGACCACGCAGTGGCGGTGAGTGGCATGAGTTGCAGGTTTCCCGGTGCCAATTCCCTCGACCAGTTCTGGGAACTCCTTTCGAACGGAGTATCAAAGCTGCGGGAAATGCCATCTACGCGATTCTCGGCAGCCCATTTGAGATGTTCTAGCCAGGAACAGAAGCAATGCTTCTGGGGCAATTTTGTCGATGACATCGACGCATTCGATAACCGATTCTTCAAGAAGTCGTCTCGGGAAGCAGCTTCTATGGATCCTCAACAACGGCTTCTCATGGAAGTCGCCTATGAAACGGTAGCATCGGGAGGTTATTTTTCAATGCGGCCAGGAGTTGACTCTGATCGTACTGGTTGCTATATCGGTGTCTGTGCAAACGACTACAACGACGTTGTGGCTTCTCATCCCGCCATTGCATTTTCCTCTCCCGGTACATTGCGAGCTCTTCTGAGCGGTAAAATTAGCCATTATTTTGGATGGACTGGGCCTTCGCTCACTGTCGATACGGCATGCTCCTCTTCTGCGGTTGCAATCGATTTGGCGTGTAAAGCCATTGTCTCTGGAGAGTGTAGTCAAGCACTTGCCGGCGGGGTTAGTCTCTACACTAGCCAGTATTTCTATCGGAATCTTGCCGCGGCTTCCTTTCTCAGCTACACCGGCGCTTCGAAACCATTTGATGCTGCGGCCGATGGTTATTTTCGCGGCGAAGGTGTAGGACTGGTCATGTTAAAACAGCTTTCCGCTGCCATTAGAGATGGCGATATGATTCGCGGAGTCATCGCCGCTTCTGCTGTCAATCAGAATGCGAACGCAACCTACATCACGGTCCCACATTCGCCATCCCTAGTCGAACTTTACAAGAGAGTCTGCCTCAAGTCAGAGATCTCTGCAGAGGATGTGTCGTATGTGGAAGCACATGGTACTGGAACGCCGGTAGGAGACCCAATCGAAATGGAAAGTATTTGTCACGTCTTTGCTGGACTGCATCGGCCTGACCTACACTTTGTGTCTTCCCTCAAAGGAAACATTGGTCATCTAGAAGGTGCATCAGGGGTTGCCTCCCTAATCAAGGTCTGTCTCATGATGCGCCATGGGCAAATCCCAATTCAAGCGAATTTTCGGAAGTTGAACCCAAAGATAACACCGTTGGAGGTGGACCATGTCGAGATCCCTACCAAAACACAAAAATGGAGCCAATAGAGCCCTGCGGCTTGCGTCAACAACTACGGAGCGGCAGGAAGTAACGCTGTTCTCATTGTACGTGGACCTCCATCGGGAGTGTCAACAACTGGAGAAAAGAAGTCGGGTCCATTGTGCAGCCTTGCCAGAGTCCCTATCTGTATCACGGCTGCATCGCCGGAGAGTCTAAAGCGTTATTGTTGAGCGCTGAGGCTAAAATGTGTTCAAATTTCAACCAGACACATGAATCTCTGCTGTCCAGCATCGCTTACAACCTTGCAGCTACGCAGAACCTGCAATTGCCGTACGGCAGCTCGACCTTAGTCACAAGTATACCAGAGCTAGTCGTATGGTTAGAAGAGCAAATCTCGTTGCCTTCGAGAGAGTGGCGCCCGAAAGTGGCGCCACGGCCAGTTGGGTTCTTCTCTGGTCAGGTTGGGGATACTGTTTATCTCGACAGGGATATCTACGAATCATGCCTTCGACTGCGATATCATCTTGATAGATGCAATGCTGTTCTAAGATTGCAAGGATTCCCAAGCCTCTACCCCAGGATTTTCGACTTCGGCCCCAAATCAGATATCGTTGCTTTACACTACATGCTATTCGCTATCCAGTACTCAAGTGCGATGACCTGGATTGACTGTGGCCTAAAAGTCGCTGCTGTGCTCGGTCACAGCTTTGGGCTCGTGGCTGGCCGCGCAAGTATTATCAAAGAAAGGTGGAACCATGATCGCGGTGCTATGTTTGCCATTGAGGCCGGCGCTGAGACGATCCTCTCTATAATCTCGAGAATCAACGAACCCGGCTCAGGTCACAAGGTTGAAATAGCATGTTACAATGGTCCCAAAAGCCACGTCCTCGCCGGGAGTAAGGCATCTATGGGAGCGCTAGAGGCGAGCCTTCAAGGTCCGAACCCTGGTATGACTTCGATCATGTTCAAGAGGCTCAATGTAACGCATGCATTCCATTCAAGCTTAACAGAATCTATGTTACCAGAGCTATTGGAGCTCGCAGGACGCCTCAGAATGACAGCCCCGAGCATTCACTTTGAAGCCTGCTCCTCGGATGTTGACTGGGCTATACTCACGCCAGAATTGATCGTGGATCACACAAGATCTCCTATTTATTTCTCGAGCGCTGTCCAACGGCTTTCTACTTGCTTTGGGCCCTGTACCTGGGTAGAAGCTTTCTCTCTGAGGTCCATGTCCGGCCTCATCAAGCGGAACCTCGAGCCCTCTCATGTCGACTTTCACCATCTTGAGACTCCACTCCTCCACCAGAAAAGCGGACTGCGATCAATTATGGAGGCTGTGATTGGTCTCTGGAAGCAGAACAATGCCGTACAATTCTGGCCATTTCATCGAAGTCAACGATATCAGTACGAACATATGATCTTGCCACCTTACCAGTTCGAGAAGACTCGGCACTGGCTGCCACTGGCGATTCCGTCTTCGACACCCAAGGGTCACCAGGGAAATGAGCCTTCCGTTACCGAAGCTCCATTGCTATCCCTGACAAGTCCACCAGCTTCAAATTCGTCTCCAGTCTCAAATTTCAAGGTCAACATCGCAGGAAAGGAGTTTCTTTCTTACGTCAAAGGACATGCCGTCTTAGGCAAGCCCTTATGTCCCGCTCCGTTGTATGTGGAGATGGTCACGAGAGCATGCCTGGCTCTGAACACGAACGTTGTGCCGAGGAGCCTATGCCTTTCCATTGAGAGCTTGGATATCAACGCTCCCCTTGGGTTGGGCGATACTCTTCAAGTTTCTCTTTCCCCGGAGGTCCAGACGCACCCGGCAAGTACATGGCGGTTCAGCCTGACAAGTGTTGATAACAGCAATCTTACTGGAGTCGCTGCCAGGCCTATCCTACATGGTACAGGATATGTATCAATCGCCACCGACAATAAGAGAATAAATGCTCTTTTATCTCGCTACGAGCGACTGATCGACCTGGGCCAATTCCAGCAATTGCAGAGCGATCCCACTTCTACGGCAATGCAAGGTTCACTGATGTACAATGTCTTCTCCAGCTGTCTCGACTACGCGGAATACTACAGAGGCGTGCGCGGATTCTGGGCCAAGGATGGGAGTGTCGTCGCCACCTTTTGCCAATACCTGACGAGAGTGTTCTGTTATCTTATGCTGTCAGACCCACTGCAATGGACAATTTCATTCACGTTGCGGGTCTGCATGTCAATGCACCCTGCACAAATCTGGTCAATCACGTCTACGTCTGTGTGCAGATTGAGGAAATATTCGTCAACCCTCGATACCGAACATTCGGACCGTCCTGGATTGTGTGCTCAGACCTTACTACACCCAGCAGTGGCAGCGTACTCAACGACATCTTTGTATTTGACGCAGAAACCAAATGCCTCGTATTCTCATCCTCGGAGCTCAATTCTCCAAGGTTGCCAGGACTTCCTTGGAGAAGTTTCTTGTACGCGCCAATGGGCGACCCGATGACCGCCCCGAGACCCAACAACAGCAGCAAAGACTAGCACCCGCTGCAAATACAAGAAACCTGCAGCCCGAATCAAAGGAGCTGACGATTTCGAGGTTAAACCGAGATCTAATTCAACGCGATGAGAACAGAGCCGCAGGAGCTATTCGCCGTGACCCGAAAGAGCCAGTGGCAAGAGTTGCAGACGTCCCGAAGGAAGTACTCGAAGATGACGGCCTCACACTCGAGGAGATCGGTGTAGACTATTTAATGTCGATGGAAGTACTGGGTGAGGTCAACAAGCGTTTTGGCATCACCGTCTCCGCAGACGAATTTGCATGCTTGGTGACCTTTGGCGACTTGCTCAACTGCGTTGCCGAGCAGCGAGGAGCATCAGATGACAGCGATGAAAATGGCGAAATCACGATCAGTGAAACCAAATCTGAGACGGGGACCCCGAAATCGTCATCAACTCCAACGTCCGTTACGACCAATACTGGCCATCTTGAAGACCAGACAGGCCTCCTTTCTTCTCTGGTGAGAGAGGACTTGGGCAACGTAAAGCTGGATCAAGACACCAAGTTGTCGACGCGGGACTAGACTCCCTTTTGAGCATCGAGCTTGCCAACGACGTTCGAAAGACGTTCGGCGTTGTCATTGATGTTACGGGTCTTGGTCCCGAGCGAACATTCGGGGAACTCACCAAGGCAGTGCTGGTCCAGGTGGTATGAATGGTGCGAAATCAATGATTGCACCCTCACCTCGGCGTATTGAACCAGCGATCGAAGCCGACACCCCGATTTCCCGAGCCCGTTTTCTCCCCAAGCCATCGAAAACTCTCTGCTCAGCGGTATGTGCGCCACACACGGAGCCACCTGCTAGCGATCCTTATAGTCCGGCAACCTCGATACATCATGCTCAGCAGATATTCGAGAACAGCAGATACAACTACGAGGCGTTCGCTCAGGAGACTGGGTGCTCTGGATTCTGGAAGCAAGTCTACCCTCTGCAGTCCAGATTGGTGCTCGCCTATGTGGTTGAAGGATTTGAAAACCTGGGCTGTTCGTTGAGCGCACTCAAGATCGGTAGCGTCCTTCTCCAAGTAAAACACATTGCCAGGCACAAGCAACTCTTCCAGCGGCTTCTGCGAATTCTCAGGGACGGAGGGCTGGTTGTTTCAGACGGGAACAACCTGATCCGAATCGAGACAGAGATTGACAAGCGAAGCTTGGGTGCCGTTTACGAAAATATCCTAGTTAAATATCCCCAGCACACCCTTGAGCATAAGCTTCTCCACGTCGCAGGTTCGCAGCTGGCGGGATGTTTACGTGGCGCATGCGATGCCTCTCAGTTACTGGTCCGGAACGCAGAGAACAGAGAACTTCTAACCCAGGTCTACACTCAGGGACCGATGTACCTAGCCATCACGAAACTCCTGGCCAAATTCTTGATACAAGTGTACTACAGTTCCAAGGCTGACGCAACTGTTCATATTCTCGAAATTGGTGGCGGTGGCGGCGCCGGAGGAGGAGCAGGGACCATCAAAACCATTATTGGGCTTCTTGATTTCAGCAAGGTCTCGTATACGTACACTTTCGCGGACAAATCACCCTCACAGGTTGCAGAAGTCAAACCGCAATTCCAAGGTAAGGGTTCCATGAAATTCATGGCACTGATCGTGGACAAGCCTGCACTTGCGGAGCTGCTCGACAAATTCCACACTGTCATATCCATACACGGTGTGCATGCTACGCGGAATCTGGAGCAGTCTCTTGGGACCATTCGCAGCATGCTCCGAGAGGACGGTTTCCTTGTGTTAGTTGAACTCACGCAGAACATGTACTGGTTGGACCTCGTCTTCGGTCTGTTGGATGATAGTTCGTGGTGGTTCCATGATGATAGTGGCGGCCGGCAGCGACATATCCCAGTAGATGAAAGGACCTGCAGCGTGATCTCAGGAAGGCCGGCTTCCAGCACGTGTCCTAGACGGACGGCGCCAGCGAGGAGTCACGGACGCTGAGGATAATCACGGGCTTTGTCCAACACGCCGAGAATGCGAAATTCGTTCCTGGTCCATCTCCGAGACCGAAATCCAGAATCGAGACTCTCGTGGGGGGCCAGGTAGAGGACGTCCTCCTCTATGCTGATGTCTATCTGCCGGATGAAAACGAACCTGATGGCAAACCACGGCCGATCGGTAAGTCATTCATCCGGGCAGCACACCCCATTGCAGACCTAGTCCGCTGATCTACTGACTACTCTGGCCACCGCGTTACTGATCCACGGGGGTGGCCATGTCATGTTCACAAGGAAGGACCTGGGACCCAAGCTGATCCGACTGCTTCTTGAGAAAGGCTTCCTGCCTATCACCGTCGAATATTGGTTCTGTCCCGAGCTCACACTGAATGAAGGGCCGATGAACGATGTCAGTGACGCGCTTGGATGGGCACGATACAAAGTGCCACGACTCAAATTTTTCAAGTCTTCCCAAGTTGTCCCGGACGGGAACCGGGCCGTCGCCATCGGTTGGTCCACCGGGGGTCACCTTGCCGTGACGTTACCGTTTACTGTCCCTACAAAAGGCATCAAGCCTCCAGATGCTGTGCTGGGATTCTATGGCTGACCGACTACGAGTCAGACTGTGGGTTAAAAGAGGAACTGAATTCCCCTAGCCGCGTCGCTCGTGTGTGTGGCTCACTATCTATCTATCTGGAACAGGGTGGAAGAATCCCATCTATCCAGCCTCTGCTGCGTCTTCGCCGAACGACCCGTATGATCGATATGCGGGCATCAAAAGTAAACCGGTAAGTAAAGCTGGATCCTGGATCCTCCCCTCCCCTCGTGGCACGCACGCATAACACAATCAACTCACAGTTGCTCATTCATTGGGATTGGAGTAGTGGACGAGCTATTATCCATCCACCAGCATCGGCCTCACAAAGATGAGGGTGACGCTGGATGACGAGCGCTGGCGCTTCGTGCTGCACATGAACTGGAAAGCTCAGACACTGCCCTTCCTGCTCGAAGGCTTGCCTCCTCGCAAGGAAGGTGAATGCCTCGACCCGGCTCCAATCCTCGCCCAACCGGACCCAGAAAAGGTCGCCGCCGTCAGTCCCTACAGGCAGATCCTCCGCGGCAACTACAAGTCGCCCACATACCTCCTGCACAATGCGGACGACGACTTCATTCCGTGGCGGCAGACGCAAAAGACCTACGAGGCGTTGCGGGCGACGGGCGTGCCGGCAGGGTTGCAGGTCATTGAAGGCGTGGAGCATTTGTTTGACGTCTTTGGGCCCATGTCGGCGGAGGAGCTGGAAAAGGGTTTTGAGACGGGCATGCGAGTTCCTCTGCGAGCACGTTGGTATCATCTGACTGACGTGGAAGTTCAAGAACAATGGAGCGTGGGAAAAAGTTGTCTCTGGTCGCACAAAGGCTGAAGGAGGTAATAAAAACAAGGCTGAGAGCCCCAATCTGGTGTGGCCAAGAATCCAGCGCTGCTGGCGCATGAACAGCGAACTGAGTGTGCTGCAAGACGGAGGCATTTCTATTTTGGGATTTCAGCACAGATTAGAATGCCATTGACATGTCTTGGTCTAGCCACCTCGTCTCTGCAGCCGCCGACAGCTGAGACAAACATTAATTTGGATTTCATCCATGTTTAGGTGCGTGAGAGATCCTGGTAAACGAATGGCCGACAACAGCCTGAGCAGTGGTTTATACCACATTTTCCGTCCTTTGAAAACCCTCCCAGTCTATTTCGTTCCGTAAAGGCCATTCCTTGGTATCCCCCCATGCCGACCTGTCTAAGTATACACGTTGAAAGAGACACAATTTTGCCAACCCAGTTGCATGATCCTGTTTGTTCTCTGACATGCTCGCAGAAAATAAAACTGCTCAGTCGCGAATTTGCTAGTAATCGTTTAGTTAGATCCGGCCATTGAGGTCGGACATGTGCCACACCGCTTAGCATAGTTCGTTGAGAGTTGACGAGGCCGAACAGATTCCTGGGAGTCTCGAACGCTCTGAAAGGCGACGCTCCGGTCATCATAGTAAAGCCCAGCCAAGTTGGCTACGGATGCTCCGGCGGTTGCGTAGCTTCTGGAAATCGCGCTCCGCGGCGGGAGAATCAAGATTGAATGCATATCAACCGGTTTGTGACGCCGCCGTCTTTTCTTGGAACAAAGTTGTCTTTAGGTTGGCCCACTTATCGCTTGCCAGATCTTTGAACCTTTCCCACCATGACCGATTGAGTCTGTTGCTGAGTTCGCGGTACATGTACATTTCAGCCCAGCAGTCTCGACCCCACTCACATCCGGCCATATTGACCATGAAGTCGCGCTCTTGCTCGTTGTAGTGGAACCTAGGGTCCAGAAGGGGTTTTCCGTCTTCGACAGCCTGTCCCTGCTCCGGATGGAGGGCACACGCCCCAGGAGGAAATGAGTTGACTTTCCGTTGGGGGATAAATGCGAAATGTGTCCGGAGGTATGGCTGCGACGCGTATAGATGCTCTAGCGCATCTTGCTCCTTGTGTTCCCACTCCATATGCTTTTGCTCGTAGAGAACAGGGTCCCACCACAGGTCAAGTAGCCGGTCTGTGAATGGAGATCGTCGCACGAAGAAAGACCCCAAGTTGAAACCGTCACAGTCCTGAGGAATGATGATGTCTATGGAGGATGTCAGATTGTCGCCGGTGGGTGACCGGGCGACCGGATCAAGAAATTCGGTGACGGGAGGATGAACGATGTCGAGAGGGTTGTAGACATTGATGTCGCGGTACACATTTCTGTCGAGATTGTTGAATATGTGGGACTGTAGTGACTTTGATGGTTCCATGATGAAGGTGTTCAAGTCGAGCCACCAGAACCTGCGTCCCGTCAGTCATAGGATGCTCAACTCATTTTGCAGACTCTTTCTCCCACCATTCGGCTTTTGGGTACCTGGCCATGGCGTTTCGGATCAGGTCAACCTTTTCCCAGCTCTCACGCCATTCATGAGCGTACCTCTTCTTGGTGCTCATATCTGCAATATCTAATATGTATCCCCATCTTTCGGCATATCTCTTTTTGTTTCTCACGCTGTCACGCTCAATCGCCCATTCTCTGGGGCCTTTCCACTCCATAACGCCGCCGCCCTCATTGGCTCCGAGGATGATGACGAATTTACTTCCGCCGCCTAAGTGGGAATTGCCACGGTATTTGGACAGCACGTCTGCGGCAGAAAAGTTAGAACAAGGCACATATGGGGAGAGGTTCCTAAGAACTGACTTGTCTGGGACAATACAACCGTCGTCAGTGTGACAGTGGACAATATTATAAACAGAAATTTAAACCTCCTCAAGACATTGCCAGCAAAAGTCTTTATTCTCGCCAGGCTGCCTCCTCCTCTTGGATACCACCGATTGCGGCCCAGTTTCTCTGGATCTTTCCAGTTGGCGGACAAAGGAGTGTAGGGACTGAAGACGGGCAGCGTAGAGGATATTTTCCGCTTGGACCGCTGAAAGAAGCCCTCATTTTTGGTCTGGACGCTGGGATATCCTCTCACTTGAGCACTTCTTGCCTTTGCCGCAGCCCACTGATCGTCATTGTTGCTGTAATTGTTGGCTCCAGCGTACAAGCCATTGGGTGTTAAACCGCGCTCAATCAGACCCGGTGCGTTCCATCCTCTGTTGGGTAGTGGTGAAACCGCTCTGGAATAGGACATCGGGGTAGATGGTTGAAGGGAGTCACAGGACGGGGAGAGTCTGCATTCGCATCAGAAGGGACAGCGACTGGCAGTAGTAGGTACTGCGGAGCGGATTGTCTTGCCACTCGAGGGGAGGGTGTTGGCAGAATGGCGTGAAGGTCAATTGAAAACGAAGCGCGGGAGGTTGATTCAGCTCATCTGACTGACTTCAGGTGCAGGACCATCTGCAAACCCGCCGCACGACCAGGATAGTGATGGCGAATGCATCAGCAGCCACATGTACGCTGGATGGTCTCATTGACTAACGGAGCAGCCCAGACTTGAAGGGAGGGAGTTTTGTTTCTCTTCTGGAATTCGACTTGAATAATATTTGAGAAGTTACAAAGCCCCAAAGCCCCAACTGGAAAATCCGACCCTCCACGCACCCGCCTACGCCCACGCCGCCTGCCAAGCCCCTTCCGCCCATTACTCCATGAGGCATACCCAGTACCCTGTAACTGCGAGGTACAAGGCACCTGGACTCGCTGGTAATAGGAAGGGATGTTGGCAGCCGGAAGTGGCACCTTGCAGCAGCACTACGAGGTACCGCGTCCGGACTGAATCGACTCTTCAGCAAAGATGGCAAAATGACAGGTGGCTTTTCTCAAACACCACTTCCATTGACTACAAAGGTACGTCGCAACAACCACCTCTCCTTCATCCCACGCCGATACACACAGCCTTCCTTCGAACCGCAGCACAAGACAACTATTAGACACCCGAGTGCACAAAGTTTAAGCTCACGCACCGCCGATTTGTTCCCTCCCACGCCCATTGAAATTTTTCCAGGGACAGGCACAGTCGGTGGAACCTCTTGAGACATTGGTGCAGCTGGATCTCCGCTGTGAGATCTCCGCTTTCCGCTGCTCTTGCGATCGACCCATTGATCTCTGTCCAGATATTGGTGGAAAGCCGCATGAGAAAATGAATTGCTCCTTTCCCATGCCATCGTGCCATCCACAATTGTCACCAGGTCCACTCTGGGCGAGACGATGACGAGCCAACCTGCTTCATACCCATGCCGCTGGTGGGGCTCCGTCAGTGGCTAGAGCGCTATCATGCCCACTCATCCCCTGTCTATCACAGCCTGATATGTGCTTGGCTGGCTATGTACCTCGCCTCCATTGATAGAGGTCAAATACCTACTCCCTTGTAGGGTAGCACAGTGCTGGCCCAAAGACTTCTTGTGTACTCGGTCCTTAATGCAACTTTCTCCACCGGAGCATTGAGAATCGTGATTTTCTGTGAAACCAACTGCATTCGAGGTGCTCGACAGGGAGCGAGGCGCAGCATTATCGTGGCATCTTCATTTCCAAACTACCAGACATCCAATAGGCGTATCTTGATTCAACAATCGGGTTCTACCCGCACGGTGGGCACAAGGGGCACCTCGTTAGCATTTTCCCTCATACTCAGCCTCATACTTTCGCGCTGCTTCATGCGTTGGTGATGGTGTCGTTCCTCCTGAACGACGAACCCTCTTTCACCGGCGGGCCTCGGTCTCGCACTCTCCCCAAACGTAATTTCCACCTTGAACTTTAAAAACTCGCCCTTTCCATTGTCGAAGATGGTGATGATGTCGTCTGTATGTAGCTTCCCGAACAAGGCTGCGTCTCCTGAGGGCGATTCCTTTCGCAGTTCAACGTCATTAACAGAGATACTCCCGCTCGCAGAGGTAGCGATCAGTGTTCTTATCCCAGGAAATGCTGTCCAGTCTTTTCCGCCGTCAACGTGAGCCTCTATGCCAGGTGCCCAGAATGTGATTTTGAGCGCGTACTTGGGAATACGCGTGTCTTTGGTGTCAGGGTATTGGATGGTGCAATCAATGCCTCGCCCCCATACAGTGAATCTGTCTTCGAGATTGACGGCTACGTTCGCGAAGGATCCAGGAAGGCTGGCTAACTTGCCGTATCGTCGCGGAGGCTTGATGAATTGCATTGTTTGGGAACTCATTTTGGTTGTGGTTTCTGGCTCTGGAGCAGGACGAATAAAACGATTCAGTTGTCCCATACTTCCCACCTCGCGACCAGTCTTCGCATCAATCGTGACAGCAAGCTCAACTGATGGTGGGGAGGTCCTAGCAGTCAAGTTCCCATGGAAAGTCTCCGCTTTTGCTCGTAGCCTGCTGGCTCTCGATGCATTTCTCGCCTCGACTTCCGCTTCGAAATCAACGGGGTTCTCAATGAGGCCGAGGTCGATACGACGAGTACATACGGGCTCTTCGCTCATTTGAGCTGTCTCCGCTATTTCATTATCTGCATGTGGAGTGACCGAAGCAGACGGCGATAGCTGACGTGTTTCAGGAGTAACAGGATTAGTTGTTTCTGGAGTCGCAGCATCCGAGATATCCGCATCAGGAGACGCCATGTTGAGCTGGCCTATTTGTTGCTCCGCCCCCATAAGGCTTGCCGCTGCACTCCCTTGGGTTTGGGGGACGTCAAGGACTTGAGGATATTGAAGTGGTTGGCCAGAAATTTCGGCGTTTTCTGCGTTGCTCCCTGGACCTCGATCTCCAAAATCGTTCACGCTGACCTGTTCCACTCGGTTGCGGATATCGTGTACTCCCATCGGTGTCGTCGGGCTCAGCTCGCTGCCAAATACGCCCGAACTACGGAGAACGGACGCGGAAATCTCTCCGAAGAGACGCTCTGTCGGTAGACCTGGCACGGGAGGTAATGGCAAGAAGCTCTCGCCGGGTGCTGGGAGATGAGGATATGTGATGTCTCCTTGCGTAGGTGACACATTTGTTGCTGTGCGAGCACGCTTCACCGGGCGATGTGGCGTATGCTCTGATGAGGGGAGTTGCGTCAGCTGGTTCAGGCTGTCAATCAACTCATCATCAAGCAAATCTTCGTCAACCTCGTCGACAACGTCCAGGTCATGTTGCGGATCGGGAATTGGTTCCTCGATATCCTCATAATTGCAGTGGTCAGGCAAGTCACGTAACCACGGATGCTGCAAGCATTCAGGCTCTTTCGGCCGCAGAACAGGATTTCGATTCAGAAGTTTCGCAACGAAATCAATAGCATCCTCTGATACCTTTGCCTGCCTTAGCATGTCGAAGTTGACATTTTTCGTCATAATGTTGTTCAGCATCTGCGCGCCGCGATCATCGCCTCTCCCGGTCACTGGAGGCTTCCCGCAGAGGAGATGGAAGATGACGGCGCCAAACGACCACATATCCACGGATTGGTCATACGGTGACGGTGGAGATTTTGTTGCAGGCTCTCCTAACCGACGCCTCTTGGATGCTGATCCCTGAGCATAATTCGCATATTCAGGATATACCTCAGGTGCACAATAAAGAAGTGTGCCACAGAACGTTTTGAGAAAGGTCTCTTGGTCGGTCACGCATTTCGACAAGCCAAAGTCGGATAACTTGACGACCAAAGGGTTTCGAGATGCTATGAGAATATTGTCCGGCTTGATGTCACGATGAGTGATGTTTCTTCGATGAAGATAATAGAGGGCGTGCAATATCTGTTTGGCTATCTGTTGGACGTCGGCCTCGGGAATAGCTCCATGTTTCCCCAGTTCTTTTGCCAGCTCGCCATAGGGAACATACTCCATCAGGATGTAGATCCAATGTTGATAAGTGTGACAATCGACGTAATTGACAATATTCGGGTGGTTGAGGTTTTTCATAATGTTGAGTTCGCTGTCAAACTTCATATCGAGGACACCGTTTTTGATAAACCGACGTTTGTCAAGCTCCTTTGCGGCGTAGATATCGCCATCTTCTTTGGTCTGAACCTTGTAGACGGTTGCAAAAGCACCTTTCCCAAGTAGACCCGTAAAGTTGTACATGGAACCTCCATTCCAGTAATTGCCATAGGTGCTTTCCCTCATGGAAGCGAATTGCGCCACATCGCCTCTTGCCGCGAGGTACTTTCTTAGATTCTCTTCATATGCGTCTTCGAAATCACCACGGCTCGGTATCCGTACCATCATCTTGATCTCCTGCTGCCTCGCACCGCTGTAAAGAGAAATAATAGCTCCATGCCTGAGGACGATGGTCGCAGGTTTGAGGGCGGGATTGCCTCGACGAGCCTTGGCATTGAGGTGCACATCATCCACGACAGTTCCATTGGTGGACAAGTCTTCCAGCATGAGGCTCCCTTGATTGTTCACAAAAATCTTAAAATGTACTTTGCTCACCAAGGTGTCATTGTCGTACGGGGTAAGAAGCACGTCGCATTTGCTCCTGGTACGGCCAAACTGAAAACCATCCTTGGGATTTTTGACGGCAGAAGACATCCGCAAAGCTATATCTCGTGGCTGGTCGTATTCTGCGCCGAAAAGCAGGTCATCTTGACTGATATCTTCTAGGTCGTCATTTTGCAAGATGTGATGGGGAGCAACCAAGAGATTGGCTTTCACTGCATCAAATGCAGCCGGGGAGGTTGGACTCAGCAGACATATCACATCTATGGCATCCTCATCAGAAACATTGGAGATGTTTCTCCGGATACGACGAGGGTCATCAACAGGCTGTGTCGCGGGCTGAGTGGGTTGCGAGACCATACTGAGAGAGTCGAAGAGTGGCCACGACCACTTGGACTACTCAGACGGAGAGGAAGAGGATAAAGCGAGAGACAAAGAAGGGGTTGACGCGAAGACCTGTGTTGTTTCGCAGCCAGTTGCTGCTACAGAAGATTGTCAGCAGACTGCTTCTTGTTTTCAGGCTGCACCCCTAACCAGAGACAAGTGGTTTTCTTTCACACCCTCTCTATTGGCGTAATATTTCGCCAAAACTATGCCGATCTGACCCGATTGAGCTGACGACGGAGTACCATCGCTAGAGCCGGGGTAGTCGACTTGACCATCGTCAGCAGTGTTCAGTTTGGGCATTCAGCGAGATAATATCCTCAAAGGAAGCAAGATAGTGTCCAAAGGCAAGTGGCCAATGCCTCCCAGAGCCCGCGCCACCACGCCCCAGGCGAAGACATCATGATGACATGATGGGAGAGATTGTCAATCTCAGTGCACATACCTTGATATTATGCCTTTGCACGGCCGGAAATGAATCGACCCAAATATCTGGCATTGTCCATATCAGTCTCCGACATCGAACGACCACATTTCCCCATCCACGATAACAAGCTTGCATTTATGCTGGCGCTGAGTACGTGAAGCGCGTATTTTTTCCAATTGGTGGTTTTGAAGAGCGACATTTCTTCTTTCAGCGCTTCCCAGCATTGAGCAAACATCCTGCGGAGTCTACAATCTTCAAGGATGTCGCTCGCCAACAATTCGACACATGCGGTAATCTGACTGACATAGGGTAGGGCAACCTACCGAGTGCGATTGCGCGAGGAAGGGAAGACACCCGAGGTATAGTTCCTCCTTGAAACTGTTAGCAGTTGCCCCGTGGCGAACTCGAAAAGGGATATTGTTTTCCTTACAAATCCTTCTCGGTTCTCAGGCAGGTAGATACATCCAACGAGGGCCAGGGAATCCTACACATCCAGAGAAGAGCAACGCTGTCAAAATGGTCGAATAAAACCACGAACACAGGGAGAAAGGAGGAAGTCTGTAGGAGGAGTCTTGACGCAGTCGAGTCTGTCTGGGTCAGTTTGGTCAGTCTACGGCTCGAAGAAATTTCCCCGCCAACGCAGGCGCAGGGAGGATCAGGAAGAACCCCTGCAGCTCCTCGCGACCTTGGAGGTCCGGACCCCAAGATTCTCAGGCGACAAGGCGACTTCGTGTACTTGTAGGCTTCGCCCGCCTGTTTCCCGGCTCCCCGTGCCTGACTAAAGTAGCGTGTCTCGGAGGCTGCGAGCCGGTGTGTCCAGGGCCAATGGATACCTGGTACTATACCCAGTACTTGTCCTGGTACATGTGGTATTCGCCTGCTTCGGCAGGATCGAGGTTCCTTATCAAAGGCGAAACGTCTCGTCACGTCACGTCACGCGCGATATCCGCTGGGCTGAGAATAGATGAGCTGCGGAGACTATGCGCGTACAAATACAGAGTACTCTGTACCAACTGCGGAAGGATTCGCAAATGGACTCGGTGGTCCAGGTGCTTATACGGGGTCCAATCAATACATTAACAAATTCCATCATGCACGACGCTATGGTGTCGTTGAAGCGCGTCTCCCACCCACGTCTCCCGCGATAATCCCGCATCAGAACTCGGCCTCGAACCCTAGTCATTCATATCCATTGCCGCTTTTGCCAGCAGATCTCTTCGGCGAATCTCCTCAGCTCGTTGTTCACGTTTGGTCTTGCGCAGGCCGATCCCCTTTGCTTTTCTAGCTGCCGCCCACGACGCAGATAACACCAGTGTTCCACCCGCTTGTCCGTTATCGACATCAACTAGAGCTTCAGTGGCTTGGACGAATGACTCTTTTAGACTTGGAGCCGACTCCGATTGTTCGTCGTTGGCATCGGCCAGAGCTTCAGCGGCTTGGTCGAATGCCTCCTCTAGAGTTGGGCCCGACTCCGGTTGTTCATCATCTGTAGACGCTCCTGGGAGGCTGATTCCGCGGCTCGCTAATGTAGCCAATCTCGTCTGTTCTCGTTTGCGGCTCCTGGCTTCCTCCACAGCCTTTTTGTATTCGGGAGTATCTTTGTCTTTCTCGATCCAATCCTCCAGGCCGAGCTCTTTGAGCTCGTTGTGGAGGATCTTTGTAGTCGTTTGAATGTGAGGCTTCAAACGTCGCTGTCCTTTGGGTTTACCGGAATTCCTTAGGTCTTGCTCGATTGATTCCGGCGTCGCGTGCTCAAACTGCGGCCGTTGATGCGCACCAATCCGACGAGGGAGGATCCGCCGAAGTGCAGCTGGCTCGGGGGCAATGCTTCGCCTGTCCGTGATGAAGTCGGGTTTTCTTCGTGATGATTGCTGCACCTTCGTCTTGCTGCGAGTTCTTCCCGCCGGCGCAGACTGAGTCGAGCCTTCATCCGCAGACGATGCTTCGAGAGACGCAGCCATATTCTTAGCCGTTGCACGATCCGCTAGGGTATGAAAGTTGGAAGAGCGATCCCGGTCGTCATCGCCAAACTCATCCGTTTCCCTCATTGACGACTGGAGTTCCGAGGCGTCTACAGGATCAATATCCATTGGTGGCTCACCATTGTTGTCAGGCAGTTGACCACTATCATCAAGACTATTCGCATCCTCATCCTCCGGTGGCTGGGCTTCATCGTTCATAGATCCGGTTGCACGCTCGGCAAGGACTGATTCTTCACAGTCGTCAGCTCGTGCTGACGACCGTAACGATGCCTGACCAAGCTCTGAAGTAGGCAGCCCTTGAGTCTCCTGTACGTCGGAGATCATACCGGTTGCTTTTGCAACTGCGCCAACGTTTTCGACCGGCGTAGAGCGCACAACTGAGCTAGAAGTCTCTATATCCCGGCTATGATCAGATGGCAGACGATTCCTGAGGTTCCGTCGAGACGGCACCATTGTGGGTAACATATTGTCTTTAATTGCGTGCTCATTACTGCATTGAGGCATCTTGTGCGAGTTCAATCTGGCTTGTCCTTGCTCTGGGGTCGATGTTCTCGAGCTATTAGAGTCATGTGCAGATTGCCTGTCGGAGTGGCTGCTAGACTGCGGAGTTGGCATTTGCGCAGACGATGAAAAATCTTCTGAGTACTGGGACCGGTCTTGCATTGCTCCATCTGAAGGCACCATTGCACTTAGTTTTAGGACGTCGCTGTCGCGCTTGCGTTTTCCTAGAGTGTTTCCGTGGGATATCTCATATAATGAACCCGAGGATGGTTGTCTGGTAGCGGTATTCATGGCAGATTGCACAATATCCCATTTAGCTTTAAACGCAGCGTTTTCAGCACGAAGTTCTTCCAGTTCTTGGGCGTTCGACTGGGCCGTTTTCATTGTCGAGATCATTTTGTGGAGAGTGCCAACGAAGTCAATTTGTGTAGGCTTATCGAGGCGAGGGACGTAGGTTTGAGACTTCAGCTCCCCAATGGATATCTTGATCTCCTCCAGCGTGTCGCGAAACGTATCCAAGACTGAAGAGATGGCTCGGAGTTGCGCATCATGCTCTAATGCCCTCGCCTCCTGGTTTGCTATTCTCCCACCTTGGGATTTCAAGTGTGCATCCTGCATGGCGAGTTGCAGTACGATGGAGTCTTGAGGTATCTCCCTGCTGTTTTGCAACGAAACGCGTGACGAAGTTCCCCAACTTGACTCAGCCATGGGTTGGAGACGTGGAGGTGTCTCTTCTCTGTGAAAGGGAGTATCCGAGCACTGAGGGGTGCCAATGAGGCCCCCCCTTAAAGTAGTATTTGGCTTTGCAGTTGCTCTGATAGCATCTCCGCCGTATCCAAACACAGGATCAACCGGCTGATTCGACTCGCTGCTCTTGAGACATGTCCTGGACAATTTGTATAGATACTGATTTCTAGCATCCAGTCAGTGTCACAGATTCTGTTGTCTGCGTTGTTGGGACCTTCCATACAACATATTTCTCCGTGCAGTTGCAGGAACCGCCTTGCAATACTGCCCAACTACCGCAGAGCATCTTGTGCAGAACACTTCAGCCAAGGTGCATCCTTCGAGGGCTCGCTGCGTGACACCTTCAGGGACGACTTGCGTCTTGCTGGTCGCGATCTCGGTTCCCAAGTGAGTGCCGGGGTGGACAGGGCGAACATAAGAACTGGTCAGGCGGATCCATTCGTTGTCGAAGATGCCAATTTGATTGTCGCATTGAAGACAATGCAGGTTGACGTGCTGCGACGCTGATCGCGACATGTGCCGGGATGAGGGAGCCATGTCGATGTCGTTGTTGGTCTTTAATGTTGGCTGCGGACATTGATTGCGAAACGGGGACACGGATGGAAATTATTACCAATGCGACCGAGACGCGTTGGAGGTTTAACGCGTCTCGTCAAAGCCAAACATGGCTAATACCGTCCAGCGCGGGGTACGCAGCCCCAATTAGGAAGGTGATTTCCAAGAGATCCGAACACCCCTAAAGCTGTGGCGGGCCATTGGATCTTCCTGCGCACATCACCGCTTCCCACTGCTACTTACGCCCTCGTACGCCTTTTTCAAACATTTGGTTGCTACCGATGTCGGAACAAGATTCTTCTTCCTCTCCCAGAATTGGGCGTGCCTGGTCATGCTCGCAGCAGCATCTAGACAAGGGTTAACTTTCACGGCCATAGTTCGCATATCAGCTAGGTCGCCGTACGGATTGAGCCTTGTATCCGGGAGTCTCGCATTCTCATCAGCCAGAAGCATCAGCCATTCCAGTCACAAGATGGCTTCCTCGCATATCGTCGAGGACAAACCAGATTCCTTCACCGACGTCAAAAAGGACTCCACCGTCGCAGCTGCGAACACCAACGCAGCCTCGCACAAGAAATTTAACGCCTGGCTACAACCTGGTCCCGCGGCATGTGACTTCCGCAGCGATGTAATGACCACACCCACGGCTTCTATGCTCGACGCCATCACAAACACCACATTACTTGACGATGTCTTCCTCGAAGACCCAACGACTAATGATCTGGAGTCCTATGTTGCCTCACTATCAGGTCACGAAGCCGGACTGCTGGTAATGTCCGGAACAATGGGCAACCAAGTCGCTCTCCGTAGCCACCTGGTTCAACCACCTCACTCCGTCCTCTGCGACATCAGGGGTCACATCCACAACTACGAGGCCGGCGGTGTCAGCTGCCTCTCGAGCGCCATGCTCATATCCGTCACCCCCAGCAACGGCCACCACCTGACCCTCGAAGACGTCCAAAAACACTGCATAGTCTCAGACGACGTCCACGCTTGTCCCACTCGGGTCATCAGCTTAGAAAACACCCTCGACGGGATGATAATGCCTCTCTCCGAAATCCGCCGCATCTCCCAATTTGCCCGCTTTCACGGCATCAAGCTCCACTTGGACGGTGCACGCATCTGGGAAGCCGTCGCCGCCGACGCCGGCAGTCTTCCCGACTTCACGCGCGAGTTCGACAGTGTGAGCATGTGCTTCTCCAAAGGACTAGGCGCGCCCATAGGCTCCATAATCGTCGGAAGTAGATCTTTCATCGCACATGCGCGGAGAATCCGCAAGATGCTCGGCGGCGGCACGCGGCAGGCGGGCGTCATATCCGCAGCGGCCCGCGTCGCCGTGGAAGAAAACTTCGGCCACGGTCCCAACGGTGAAGGCGGCAAGTTGCGCGCCAGCCACGCCCGGGCGAGGAAAGTCGCAGAGATGTGGACCGCGAAGGGCGGCAAATTGGCCAACCCCACGGAAACGAACATGGTTTGGCTAGATCTTGAAAACGAGGGCTGTTCAGCCGACGAATTCGCTGAACTAGCGAGCATGGAGGGCTTAAAGGCGCGAGGTGGACGATTGGTAGTGCACTATCAGATTTCCGAAGAGGCAGTGAAGAGGTTGGGAAGAGTCATGGACGCCGTCCTTCAAAGGAGGGCAAAAAGACAGGCAGAACGGGGTCAATGACAGGTAGCGGGAATGTCGACGGGCACTGAGAATATTAAATAGACAGAAGACTACAGCCGACCGCCTGCATGAGAGAATGACTAACGCTGTATTCCATTCTCAACGAAATTTCGGAGACCCGCATCGTGATATTTGACTTGCAAAAAGCCATTTCACAAGAAGGCCACAGCCGCCCGGTCGAGTTCTCCGTTCGAGTATCACATCGCAAGAAGTGCCCAAGTGGTGACGACTAGACAGCTAGCCGGATTCGTTGTCCGCGCGACTTTCTTCCCCCCTTTCCTCCCTCTATCGAAAGCACGAAGCGTCGAGTCGCAAGGGAGGGCCTTTCTGAGATGTTGCACGAGACATAGTCGGCAGTGAGATCTTATTTTCCAAGTCGATAGCGCCGAATGATGCCCAATTTCAGCACTTGAATAGCACAGCACAGCACAGCACAGCACAGCACAGCACAGCACAGACGGTTGCCAATTCCGACGTCCTTCACCCTCTCAGTCCTCCTGTTCCTGGTGACAATGGCCCTGGTGACCCATCTCAATTGCAGTAGCCGATCCTTTTCAAGACTCGACTTCCGTATCCAATATTAATCTCCCGAGACGATGGCCCCGCCAATAGCGCTCAAGCATGAACCTAGCTCAATGGCTTGAGGATGTCCCATCTGTCAACGTGCCCAGTTCATATGCCGCAAATCCTTGAAAGAAAGTTGTATTCAATCAGTTCTCATCGAACAGTGCGCACTTCTAGACATGGTCGAGGAGTGGTGAGAAAAAAAACCCCACAGCTCAAAAAAAGAAAGCCCACAAGCTCGGAAAATAGTTTGCCTAAATCGAAGCACTGCTTGTTGTGAAGAATTGAAATGAATTGTCTCCAGAGAAACCGTAAAGCGCTCAGCCGCACCGCCGCTCACCCGGCAAAAGCTCAATTGGTCGAAGCTCTGGTAAAAGAGCATGAGTATGCAAACTCCACAAAAGCTCTGCAATTGTGGCGTCATGCATCGAAGGCCGTTGCGTCTCCCCTTGAGTAGCATTGAACAAAGGAAATATTTTCGTGTCATTAAGGTCGTGCAAATGTTTGGTGTGACCACTGTGGTCTTTTTGGTCGACTTCGACACCTCTGACTTTGGTCACTCTAAATATGGCGCACCATAAGCCGGTCTGTGAGGAGGGATGCCGCCGCGAGAATGCAGATAAATTCTTTGTGTTCGATTCGAATATGCTTTTTTCAACCAGCTACACCCATTTGCCCCGGTCTCGGCTGGTAGCTCTGCCGTCCTCCTGGTGCACCAGCGTGACTTCCTCCACTATCAGCACTTCCTGCGCGGCCTCGGGCGTATGGGCTGTTAGGAACACTGAAGTTGAAGTCGTTTGCTGGTGCAGATGTTGCTGAAACCATGTTCTGTACAGGCCTAACAGAACTTTGCTTCTGCCATGCATTGGCCTGATATGGATCGACATCAACCCTTGTTGCAACGGGTCCAAGAGAGTTCGACGCCGAGGCGGGACTGCGAACTGGCGCATCTGGTGCTGCAACTGTTTGTTTCTGTACCTGGCCCTTGGCAATATGACCATATCTGGACAGTATTTCCTTGGTTGTAAGTTCTGCAGATCCTCCATGAAGGTTGGTGTCTGTCAAGATAGACTGTAGATCTTCGGGGACCTGGGAATATAGTCAGCTTCCATCATGACAGCGTATGAGCTAGTGCTTTCATACCTGGCAGAATAAATCATTGTATTCGATCAAGGTGTTGACTGCTTCAATAGCAAGGAAGCTATCATCGACCTGTGGAACTTGCGGCTGTCTGGCACCTGGTGCCTTCTCCTTCGCATACAAGATGTTCGGCGCCATAACGGTAGCCAGATTGTGAATGTCCATCTTGCTGCCAGATTCTTCATCAACCTGAGAGAAAGACGCTGCCCATTTGAGGAATGAGAATAACACTTCCATGGTATCGCGATGACTCTTCGGCATCAGGCAGCACGTGAGATGCAGAACCCTCCTTCGGCGTTCATCGTCCTCTATCTTTTGAGAAATGATGAAAAGCTTTTGCAACTTGAATGTCAACAGCGGGTCAGGCATCTCTCTCAAGAACTTCTTGAGCAGTGCGGCAACCTGCACAGGGTTTTCACGGCTGAGGTCAGGCGTCTGATTTGCATCGATCGCTTCTGCAGCTTCCTTGAGTCGCTTGATGTTGCCGTTCTTTCTGAAGACACCTTCGACCGACATGTCCATCTGTTTCATGGCAGATATACAGTCGTCAACAATCGCTGGAACCCTGAGGGCACCAGGTCCGACTCCGTTAGTCGATTCTGCTCCCTCTCGTTCAACAAGCGTCTCCAACGGGACACCGAAGATGCCCTTCTTCTTTGCGCTGGCATCACCGCGAAGTGCACGGCTGACTTTGCCCCAAAATGTCTGCTTTCGCTGTTCAATCAGACCTAGTAAATCCTCAAGGGTATATTCCCCATTCAACAAGGGCTGCATCGAAAGGACTGCCACATGTCGGACGATGAAATATTCCAAAGCGGATAGTTCCGAAAAGTATCTTTTGGTTCTAAGAGGGCTTTCGCCGCCCAGAAGATCAGCACCGCCACTAGATGCGCCTCGCTGGTGTCCATTAACAAGTCTCGGTTCATTGCCTCTGTGACCGATGAGGTTGGTGCCCGCATGGCGGAAAGCGTTCGGTCGTTGTTCCTTGGCCTGCTCAGCAGCAACAATCCTTGGAATGTCGTCCAGGGTCAGAGCTTCTCGATCGCCGAAGGTTAGTTCCGATTTCATACGACCATCAAGATCCTTCTCCTGAACGATCTGGAAGCCACCGGAAGTCCGGCTATCCTGACCATCGCCTCCTTCAGAACCTGGCCGCACTCCACTTGGGCCGTAGAGGATTTTAGACTCTCGAGCCTTTCGGAATGTCGTGGAAAGAGTGCGTTCGTTTCGAGTAGATCGAAGTCGCTTCATCTCACCCACAGTCTGTTCTAGTGACGATTCTTGCTGGCTCGATGTACCCGCATAAGACCTAGATCGTGATCCCATCTTTTGATGAGGCGTAACGGGCTCCCCTGTAGGTGAGATATGATGTCCTTCATTCGTATTGTATGGAGTCAGATTAGGATCATCGGATGTATGTGGTAGAGTACCGCCAGATTTCAGCACCTCAAGCAACCGGGCCAACGCAACTTGGAGTAGGAAGACATATTGCTGTAATTTGGTGACATGAGCGAAGCCTGAAACTGTGTCCGGCGTCCGTCTTGCATGATCAAGACAGTACACTTTTTCTTCTCTTTCGTTATACATCGCACTTGCGAGATCGCTTGTCAAATCTCGTTGGCAGACGCTGCAGGTAAGATGACGGGGCTTCACATGCCATCTTCGACCGTAAATCATGACGCATTCGTCGTCAATGGGTTCCATGCATGCAGAACAGCAATCCGATTCTTGGCTAGCAAGGCCTGCAACACTCTCCTGTAAATCTAGTGATTTCATCTCCTGCTCTTTAATTGTTTCCAGATCGGCAAGCTCGTCCAAGAAGGCATGCAGGCCTTCCGGGGACCCTTTCTCACGTTCAAGCTTCAGGGCTCCTTGAAGACCGATGCGAATGAGTAATTTTAGGTAATGAGCCAGACCTGTAACCAAGGACAAGAGCTCCTGGGTGACTCCAAGTTTTCGCACGCCAGTTTCCTGAGTTTTGGAGAGGAGTGTGAAGAATGCCACGACCTTTTTGCAGAGTAGTTTCGCTTCTCGACCGTAAGCAAGTTCTTTGAGGTCAGCCTTGACGACCAAAGCTGCGAGCGTGTCGATTGCGCCGAAGAGGATGTCAACGTGCCAGATGAATTTTCGCGCAACAATGACTCCATCGACATAGACGCCATTACTGACGTGGAGAAGCATATCTGAGATGCATGAAGCAGAGGATTCCTCAAAGGTGGAAAGCGTGCTCCAGATCCTGTAGACCTTGTCCTCCATCTTTTCCTCGTCCTCTTTGACAGTTTCCCGCTCATCCTCGGTGACAGGGGCGTGAATGTCTTTCCTCTCCACCTCTGTTTCGGTTTGTGCAAGTCGGACATTCCAGAACTTATGGATCATGTAGCATTCAGGGTGCCAGTGCTGATTCTGACCATTCCGGAAGATCTCAACAAATTGTTTTAGAATAGCAGTCTGGCAACCGTTGCATCGTTGCGCAAACTGCGTGGAATAGTGATAGTGACAGTAAACTTTCCCGTCATGTTCGTAGTAGCTGTCTTGAGCGCCGAAAACGGTTGGGCAAACCGAGCATGTGAAATGTTCGATGTGATATTTCCGGTCGAGGGCCGTGATGTAGGAGCCACGAAGAGCGCCACCGCATTCAAAGCACAGAAGATCCAAGCGCCGAAAATAGTCCGTTTCGCAAAGAGGAAACTGCCCAGATCCATCCTCGGTGTCTACAGGGAAAAACTTCGAAGCGACAATCTGACCACAGTCGGCGCACTTAAAGCAATCAAGGTGGAATGTCCCACCAAGAGCACGGACAAATTGACCAGTCAGAGCCTCGCCACACTTTCTGCATTGCCGGGCTCCAGAATTGGATGACTTTCCTGTACTGCCATTTGTTCTTGATCTACTCCGCTCTCCTTGCCCGCCCACGGACCTCTTTCTTCCGGTTCGACTATCAGAGGAATGTCTGGCGTCGCTGTCGTAGGGAGCGTCGTTTGAATTGCCATTTGCGTTGTTTGGTGGACCGTACGTGTACTGACCATTGGCATTCTGCGAAAGTTCATTCTGGTTGCGAGGAGTGCCTATGGTGTATCTTATTGTTCCAGAATTCCCCTGCTGCCGCTCTTCAAGCGGAGCTGCCATACTTGGATTGCACCCAGACTGCGTTGCATGAATATGTGGCAATTGGTCAGGTAAACATTCGACAACCGGAGCCTCTTTGACAGCGCCTAGTTGCGAACGCAATTCAACCACACCCTAGAGAAGTAGCTGGCTTCCGTCGTATGACAGTATTGTGCGCGTCTCTTGCCTGCGACTGTAGCAAGTCCATGCAGCAGAAAACTCAAAGAATTAATGATGGACAAGGGGAACTGTGTGAATCTTGTGTGAATCTTGTGGTATGTTGTTGTTCGATAAAAGTAGTCGCAATTAATGTCCGCCCTGGATGTGATTACACCAAAACGATCAACGGAGTGACGGTTGTGCAGTTGTTTGCAAACAGTGTCTGAAAAGATCCCTTCACGGCGGTAGAGACGGGAGAAAGCTCTGAGGGCGCGAGGGGACAAGGAGGAGACGGAGGTCGGACAGGGAGTGGGAATCGAGGAGACGACGCGTTGCGGGACAGAATTGAGAACTTGTGAGACGGCCCAGCCGAACAATCTGCGCGAAAGGACAGTATGAAGTTGATGGAAGAACCTTACAGTCAGTCCAGTGTGCTGTCGAGAAATGGTGACTTGTCAGATCAGATCGGATTCACCCATCGAACGATGAAATGTGAATAGCGTGAATTGCTGGACGGGATGTTCGACTGAGGCCCAAGCCCCCAAAGGCCAAATTTAGCAAGGCCATTCGGAGAATTGGTCTGATCACGTGCGTCGGCGCTAATAGCTAGCGCCACCAACGGGCTGAACGGTCGTTGATTGGCCACGGTTGGCAGCCTGGGCAGCCTTGCCAGTTTCATCTTCGTAATAACAAAGAGGCTGTTGCAAGGTCGACGACGTTGCACAACAAACGAGGTTGTACAGTGATGCAAAGAGAACAACGAGAGATGCAGAAAGAAAGAGAATAAGAATTCCAGATAATAACAGCACTAACAGGTGCAGAATAAAAGCGGAGACCGCTTTGGACCTTGGATCTGCTCCTAATTCCATCCAGCATACAACCTCTTCCCAGCATTCCATCCGTTATGCAGTCCCTGAGTCTGCTTCAGATGTCTTTGGGATTCTGACAAAGACGACTCCATCCTTCACCTCTATCCTTGTCTCGCTCGGGTTGGCCTTTGCGGGCAACGTAACCGAACGCTCAAAGGGCCCTTCATGTCTCTCTTTGTGAACAGTTTTCATGATCCTGCTTCCGGTCTCACCAAAGGTTGGTATTGATGAGGTAGCCATCTTTCCACGAATGAAGATGGTGGTACCATCCAGCCATTCGATCCTGATGTCATCGGCGGAAGCGACCCCTGGGATATCGCCCACGAGAAGCCATCCAGCTGTGTTGCCATCCAACTCGAAAACATCCAACTTTGGAGCCAGCACCCCGCGGTGCGAGGGCAAACCATCCACGTTGTAGTAAGCGTCGCCCACGTGGTTGAGCTTGGCGCGCAACGAGTGCGTGTCAACGAGCGAGATATGGTGAGGGTGCAGCAGGCACTCAATTGTCGACATAATGGTGTCTTCTAACCCCAGTTGGATTTTGATAGTTGTGGTGGGTGGTTCAAGTCGAATGTCGAAGATTTGATTGTCGCGCTCGCAATTCGCGTCCGTGGGAACTTTTCAGTTTCCTGGGATTTGAGTCTCTGTTGCAGGATGAGGAGCGGCAAGCGGGCACAGTGGTACCTTACATATCCCTCCTCTTTCCCCTGCCTGATCTGCAGACATGGGAGCATATCTGACGAAAATTCCCCCAGGTCCAGGTCCCCAGACGTCATGGGGCTCAGCCAGAACTTTCTCTTCGAGCCAACCAAGTTGAATACGAGTGATCATAAGTTGAAAATCGACTGCCTTGGTGTGCACGTGTGCAGGGGATTGCAGTTCAGTGGACTGTACTTTGTATGCAACCATCACCTGTTCAGGAGAAAACAGGCCAAGAACCAGCTATTTACCCGAGGCACATGGGCCGAAGGGCATTGAAGGAGAAAAGTATCATTGTACGCGCGATCTTGAGAAGGCATATGAGATCATATGACAGCACGGACAAGATTGAGGACCACGCGGGAAAAGAAGTCGAAAGTAACGACCATCTTGATAGCTTGGAGGAACAAGGACAGCTAGTTGTATGCCGAAGATGTATTTGGCATGGCCATTTTTGTAATGTCGGTCATTCAAGCAGGGCGCCAAGAGAGTCAACTTCCACATTATTTCCTGGTTCCCTCATCATTCTGACATTTCGATGACTGTGCTTGCGCAGCCGGCAAACAGAAGGCCAAAACCGTGAAGCCGGTGGAGAACTCAAACCATTTTTATCGGAATCTCGTTTGAATTCGCGATGGGAAGAGCTCTTCCCCTGAGAGGATGCTGCGGCATCAAAACGTAAGCATTGTACGTCTGCTGCGTAATGACAAGCCGCTCAGGGATTGGATATCACTCCACTGCTGCATATTGCATCTTCCCCTCTCATGATGATGTGAGCTACTTTCCCCTTGCAGTCATGAGATGGACACCCAATGACAACTGACCAACTTGACCAGCTCTTTCTCGTGAACCAGATCGTGGAGCTTTGGCCCCTCGCTAGATCATCTTCCATCGGCTGTGACCGGAGAGAGGACGAACTTACTCGAGAACTCAGACCTGGTCGAGGACCTCGCCTATGGAAATCGCTCCGAGTTCCTGGGGACAATGGGGTGGCTCAATGATCACAAGATCGCACATTTCTATCGGCACATGCTGAACCGAGCAATGAGGAGCTCCAACATTGCCGCCAGGCTCTTGCCCCGCCATGAGCTCTAGAATCAGACAGGGTAAATAAATATGCGCATCCCTCTTCATGTCAGAGAGTTCCTTCCCGCGATATTCTCCTCAGCCTCAGTTGATCAATCGAGAAGAAGCAGCACTCTACAGAACATCTATATAAGGACAGCAGGTAGCGACTTCAAACCTTCAATTGCAGATAATCTTCACCACGGTCTCAGGAAAAGACATCCTCGAAGCAATGGCCTACGCTTACTACTATGACTACCCACCTCCATTGGTGGACAACCCTCATGAACGACACCATCAGCACCAGTCGCTCCTTCAATACATCGCCCGCCGTCACCCCAGACCAGAAGACCACCCGAACCAACCTGACCTCGACTTCCGCGATGCTATCCACGAATACCTCATCGAGATCGAAGTGCCGGGGATCAAGAAGCCTGAAGACATCACCGTTACCTGGACCGGTAACCGATCCCTTCTGTTGTCGGGCAAAGTCGACCGGCCAGACTATGGAAATGCCGAGAACGCAAAGGTGGAAGAAGAACAGCCAGAACCTCATGACGGGGGAATCCATCTGTTGATTGGAGAGAGGAGAATCGGCCCGTTTCGACGATACGTCAATTTCCCCACGGATGTAGAGAACGTCAGTGTCACGCTGGAAGCTGGCTTGTTGAAGATTCGTGCGCCCAAGAAAGGGTTCAAGGATATCGCCAACACAAAGGTTGATGTTAAGCACGAGTGAGTTTATGCGGCCTTTTTTCTGTATCTAGTTGCGCTTGTTGTTGCTTCTCCGGTGCGGAAACTAATATTGATTTTCCTTTGAGGGATCATAAGAAACATACCTTCCCTGTCATGAGCGCGTTCAGTGGCCTCTAATTCGTTCAATTCTCCTCATCATCGTCGAGTTTCACCCTGTTCTCAGAAGCTTTTGTGAAAGGAACGCGAAGGGAAGGTGGACACAGGCGGCAAGGGAAATACTTTGGCTTTTGGAAAGGTCGACGCAGTGGCAATAGGGTGTGGAAGGTATATCTAAGGTCCCCGACGCGATATCGGATCTTTCGGGGGTCAGAAATTCTTAATCAGAAGTAGTTCCTCAGATTGTCGGCCGAACTCCAGTCAAAATGTGCTGCTCGGGCTTCATTTCACACCGAGATTCCGTTTCATGATGTGTGGGTGTCAAAGACATCACCCTCTGTCATCCACACCTGGTCAAACTTTCTTTCCCTGCTGACATCCTCATGTCTCCTGGATCCACGGCCGCAAAGCCGCATTGGCAATCACTAATAAGCATCTCTGCACCTGCCAAGAACCCATGTATCGCAAAGATCACATTGCCATAGGAACCGATGTGCTCGTCAGCGACAGTCCGAACAACGGTCGCGGCCTTCTTCCCTGGCATGAGCACCCACAAACATCCTCGTCCAGTCATCGTGACAGCTCTCTGCAAAAAGCTGACGCACGAGTCCTCATGCAATTCGTTGCAAATCGACCATCAGATTCTGGCGTTTAGCACTGGCTTCAAATCGCTCAAGCAGACGACCTTTCATGCCATTGTGGACTTTCAGAGGTCTTCCACTGAGCATTGCACTGATAACAGAATTCTATTCCACGATAGCACCAATACGATATCAGTATCCATACCTGCTCATGATCAAGGTAGGGGATCATACTTCATGTGCTTTGCAACCGTGCAAGATGATAATCACGCAACTACAACCTGGACAGGTTGACGCTTTGTTATCTCTTTTCCACTCGTTGAAGGCCTCATCCCTGGGTTCCCCACAGTCTGAACATCCAAGGAACTGGCCCTTGTACCTCATACAGGTGTCTCTGTGGCAGCAGGGGCAAGGAGCTCGGCTGGCCACGAACTTATCTTGGTCGATAAAAGCTGAACCGGCTGGTCCGTAGCAGTACGTCCAGTCTGCTGTTTCATATTCCGTGATCTTTCCTTCCAGCTTGGCATTTTTTTTTTTTTTTTGGTTTTCACCGAGGAGGCACGCAATAATAGGACTCTCATGTGAGATTTTGGAAGATTTCGGCAGCATCGGGCAGGATAGTGACTTTCGTGCTTTACAGCCGACTCGAGATGTTGCAATACGCATGAACGGCACCAGAGGTGCTAGCATTCCGCATGAGCGATGGTCTGAGAATACGGGACATTTTCCGTGCAAACATAGCATTCTTGGGAAGGATGAACCTCATCGAGCCCAAGATCGCGCTTGTATTCTTTCAGATCAGTTGTCCCATGATGGTCAATTCGAGGGTCTTCGCAGTGGCCATCCCTACCCACGACTCTGGAAGTTTGAGTTGTTTCTTGACGGATTGATTTGGCCTTGTTGACGCCCGTCTGTGGAACTTGCGTTTTGAGTGAGAAGTCGATCAACCTCCGGGAAATCTAACGGCATGGCTAGGTGCATGCTCTCCTGCAATGTGCCATCTGATGGTTGAACTTTGGATATCGCGATTTCCTCAAGTTGGAAGCGAAGGGTACTGATTCGCTCACGCGTTTGAGCTCCCGCAGTATGTGCAGGAAACGCCGTTAAGAAAGCCTCGAGATCATAGAGCTCAAGCCTGATTGCTAAAGCAGCGTTGTCCAGGTCAAACTCTGTCACATCCATAGCTACTGAAGAGGTGCGAGCAAAATGTGAAAAGGTCGAAAAATGTCTCACATACTGATTTTTACTAACACAGCGCAAACGCTGTCAATCCGTGCGCTAGCTAGACGCTCTCAGTAATTGACATCACCGATGCCACGAAGCTCCAGGTGATAGAACAGGTAGTTTGACGAGGCCTGAGACGAGACAATATCTGCACCATAGAGCTTTGCGTGAGAGAGAAATTAGGGGTGTGTTCCCATAGCATGTTAGTAAAGAGTTCGCAACAAATTCACTGGGAGAATGCACTACGGTATCTACATTTCTGCCAGACCTTGAGACTCACAATGCGCTTATAGCGATCCCAATCCACACGCTCTGTTACACAGATCAAAGTACTGGACCATGTAAGCAAGGAGTGAAAAGTGGACATGGCCAATTCATGCCCGACCATTTTCTCGATCAGGAGTTCCCCTGCGCGAGATGCAGCCTGACGTGGTTGAAGAAACCCAGCCTATCGAAGTCGATATTAATGGAGCATAAAGGACAAGAGGCTGGCCTGGATTACTGCTACAACGTAACTCTAGACCGATAAAAAGGAATGCCGCATGCGCCGTGGAGAGGAACAGAGTTATCATGACAAGTTTGAACAGCGACCTAGGAGCGAGTGGATAGCCAATAAGCGCAGCCTTGCAGCCTCGCAGCCTTGCCAGCATGGCGCCTCCCGCCACCAACGCAGCGGTGAACGCATCCGAGGTGGCACCATATGTTTGGCAAGTTGTCGAGGCTTCTCCACACCCAGATTTTGGGGATTCGGTCTCATTGAAAACACTTCGCCTTCCTGCACTTTGTACCAGTCTATGTACCACCTGATTACTATTCGCGGACTTGAGTGAACTTGATAAATCTTTCCCTGATCCCCATTCCTTTGCACTGCTGCAGTTACCTTTTCCAAACACACAATGGCTGCGAACAACGCCAATGGCGTCCCGCACCGTAAACCCTCGCTCCCCCCGGTCTACATTGTCGCAATGGCACGAACGCCTGTGGGATCTTTTCTTGGGTATCAACTACACGCACTCTACTGTACCTAGTATCACTGACAGGTCGTAGCTCGCTGTCCTCACTGACAGCACCTCAACTCGGCTCTCATGCCATCAAAGGTATCCATCCCCTCACCGCTTCTCAGCCCTCCTACGATATATTGACTTGATACAGCTGCCCTTGAAAGAGTTCCGGAGATCAAGCCGCAGGATGTCCAAGAAGTCTTCTTTGGAAATGTCTTGTCCGCAAAGTGAGTCCACACGCTTGTGGCACCCAATGTGGCCAATCTGACAGCTTCGTAGCCTTGGTCAGAACCCCGCCCGTCAATGCGCTCTTGGTGCTGGCCTAGACGATTCTACAGTTTGTACCACGGTCAACAAGGTCTGCGCATCGGGGGTGAAGGCCATCATTCTCGGCACGCAGACAATCATGACCGGAAACGCCGACATTGTTGTGGCCGGTGGTGCAGAGTCCATGTCCAATTGCCCCCACTATCTTCCCAATATGCGGACCGGAGCCAAATTTGGGAACCAAACATTGGTCGATGGTGTGTTAAGAGATGGGTTGTCAGATGCATATGGGAAGCAAGAACATATGGGTCTGCAAGGCGAAGAATGCGCTAGGGATCATGACTTCAACCGAGAGCAGCAAGATGACTATGCTATTCAGTCGTATCAACGAGCACAAGCAGCACAGAAGGATGGCCTCTTCGATTTTGAAATTGCTCCTATCCAGCTGCCTGGTGCTCGAGGGAAGCCTGGCGTCACAGTTGACAAGGATGACGAGCCCAAAAACCTCAACATCGAGAAGCTCCGCGCAATGAAGCCTGCATTCATCCCTAATGGCGGCACAGTGACTGCTCCAAATGCTTCGCCTTTGAATGATGGCGCCGCAGCCGTAGTACTCGTCTCAGAAGCTAAGCTGCAGGAATTGAAGATCAAACCACTGGCGAAGATCCTGGGTTGGGGTGATGCTGCCAAACAACCGAGCAAGTTCACCACCGCCCCGGCGCTTGCCATCCCGAAGGCCTTGAAGCATGCTGGCATCAGCCAGGAAGATGTCGACGCGTTTGAGATCAACGAGGCTTTCAGCGTTGTGGCACTTGCTAACATGAAGCTGCTTGGTCTGTCTACAGACAAAGTCAACCTTCACGGTGGAGCCGTGGCCATCGGTCACCCACTAGGAGCTTCGGGGGCAAGGATTATTGCAACATTACTCGGCGTTTTGAAGGCGAAGAAAGGCAAGATTGGATGCGTTGGCATTTGCAATGGCGGCGGCGGAGCGAGTGCTTTGGTTCTCGAATCTTTGATGTGAAGTGGACAACATCGCATAATTTGGCGTGGGAAATACGTACTAGATTAGTGGAGTTCATCTTGTCAAGGAAGCATTTCCACTGGCGAAGCATGTGGTTTGTTTCTAAACGCATATTTTTCAAGTGACTCAACCTCAGTCCAAGACTCATCGCTTGAAGAACAACCCCAGCACTTGTCGACCTCCATTGAGAGCATCTGGGGTCGATTGGGCGAGTTGGTTTCGTAAGACAGTTTGCGATCACGACTCGACGAATAGGAGATGAGATCCTTAGTAAGCTACTCGGTATCGCAAGGCTGAACGAGGCTGTAACCTGCGGCCCTGCGTTCACCAACTCCACAATCATAAATTTTGTTCCGACTCCAACTCCACAGTCAAAGAATTTCCTTCTTTTTGCGCCGCGACTTCCCCAGTTCCGGCAGCCCACTAATCATTATGGATGACCTCTATGATGAGTATGTTATACAGCCAAAACTTCGTGGTCATGGATGTTTTGCTAACAATTGGCCCAGGTTTGGTAATTTCATCGGCGAAGCCGTCTCCGACGAAGAGGCATCCCAGGATGGTGTGGCCGGCCAACATTACGTCTACGACGAGGAGTCGGAACCCGAGGAGCAAGCTCCTGCAGCTCAGTCTATGGAGGTCGATGAAGAAGGCCCCTCCAATGCCGTCATATTGCACGAGGACAAACAGTACTATCCCACGGCGCAGCAGGTATACGGCGAAGAAGTCGAGACTTTGGTGCAGGAAGAGGATGCACAGCCGCTCACACAACCGATAATTGCACCCGTCACGCAGAAGAAGTTCCAGGTCCAGGAAGCGGACCTTCCTCCTGTCCATTACTCGAGAGAATTCATGACAGATCTTCTAAATTTTCCCGAAGGTATCAGAAATATTGCCGTGGCAGGACATTTACACCACGGCAAGACTGCATTCGTGGATATGTTAGTCATGCAGACACACGATCTGGAAGAAAGACTGGATAAGAGGATTGGCAGGAGGAGGGATGAACAGTTAAGATATACCGACACACATTTCCTGGAACGAGAACGAGGAATTTCCATTAAGGCCGCGCCAATCAGTCTAGTCATGCAAGGCACGAAAGGGAAATCGCATATACTCAACATCATCGATACTCCGGGACATGTGAATTTTGTGGATGAAGTTGCATCGGCTTTGCGGCTGGTGGATGGAGTGGTGCTCGTCGTTGATGTGGTCGAAGGTGTTCAGATCAACGCTGAGCAAGTCATCAAGCACGCTGTTTTGGAGGATATTCCCATGGTTTTGGTCATCAACAAAATGGACCGCCTCATCCTCGAGCTGAAAATCCCACCAACAGATGCCTACTTCAAACTAAAACACGTTGTTGAAGAGGTCAATACAGTCATCGAAAACACCATTCCGGGCCGTGGCGAAAAGAGGCGGCTCTCGCCTGAAAAGGGCAACGTGGCTTTTGCATGTACATCTATGGACTGGGTGTTCACACTACCGTCGTTCGCAAAGATGTACGCTGAAACTTACCCTAAAGTCGATGCTGCCGAGTTTTCCAAGAGACTCTGGGGGGATATCTTCTTCAACCCTCGGAGCCGAAAGTTCACCAGAAAAGGGATGGAAGAAGGATCAAAGAGAGCATTTGTGAACTTTGTGTTGGAGCCCATATATAAGCTATTCTCCCAAACCATCAGCGAAAGCCCCGAAGACTTAGCGCCGACTTTAGAGACGTTGGGTATCTCACTGAAACCGTCGCAGCTCAAATCTGATGCGAAAGTGTTGCTCAAACTCGTATGCGCGCAGTTCTTTGGGACTGCGAGCGGGTTCGTCGACATGGTCGTGCAGCACATACCTTCACCTGTTGAGGGCGCGAGCAGGATGCTCGACAACTACTACACCGGCACCCCTGGATCGAAGGTCAGTGAAGCAATGTCCAAATGCGACTCAGACGGACCCTTAGTTGTGGAAGTCACAAAGCTGTTCAGCTCTTCGGATGCCAAAACATTTAATGCTTTTGGTCGCATCATGTCCGGCACAGCATCACCGGATCAGGTGGTTCGCGTCCTTGGGGAGGCATACAGTCTTGAAGATGAGGAAGATTCGACTACTGCAACAATCATGGCTGTTCAAATCGCCTGTTCGCGCTACAATATCCCGGTCTCTGGTGTGCCTGCCGGAAATCTCGTTCTCCTGTCAGGGATTGACAATTCTGTCGTCAAGACAGCTACAGTAGTTGCTGAGAAGTACCCGGATAATGAGGATGCCTACATTTTCAAACCGATTCGCCATTTCACGGAATCCGTCTTCAAGGTCGCAGTGGAACCTGTTAACCCATCAGAGCTCCCGAAAATGCTCGAGGGTTTGCGCAAGATCAACAAGTCATATCCTCTCATCACCACCAAAGTTGAAGAATCAGGAGAACACGTTGTCTTGGGCACAGGCGAACTGTACATGGACTGTGTGTTGCATGACCTGCGAACGCTGTATGCCGAAATGGACATCAAAGTCTCTGATCCCGTCACTCGATTCTGCGAGACCGTGACCGAAACAAGCGCCATCATGTGCTACGCATTAACCCCCAACAAAAAGAACAAATTGACCATGATCGCCGAACCGCTGGATGATGGAATTGCCGAGGATATTGAGGCTGGCGTTGTCAAAATTCGAGATCCAATCAG